CGCGTGGTCATTATTCTATTGTGGCTGAAGTTCTCATGAAGAGTGAAGTCGGCAACATTTACGGCGATGGAAACAGGTTCTACGCCTGCGTCGACACGAATTCCCATTCCAAATACCATGCTCCCGCCATCATTAACGTGAGAATCTATGAAAACGTTTTTCTGGCGTTACGCTGTCGACGGCAATGGAGATGTTGCATGAGTGAGGAATTTTCGATTTAACTATTGATTCATTTGTAAAAGTTCACGAGAAACACGATGGTAAGCCACTGTTTTTCTCTGAAATCGACTCCCAAGCTCAAAAAAAACTCCCAAGTTAAGGCCAAAATGGAGGGGATATCCCACGCTATCCTGAGAGTCCACCTCTACGTCAAGACAAACTCTCCATACGAAGATAGGGAGCAAATACATTAGCAGGGTTGCCGTGTTTTCAGTTTTGGATTTGGAGTCCCCAAAGTTACCAGTTAAAGTTAAATACCAGAAGTAATATTTCTGGACCGCCCTCTAAAATCAGTAATATTTTTGGACTTGCGGACATCCTGTACACATTCTGCAGCCCACTCCATTGAAGAGTAGCATGTCTACAGAATCTTCTTATTCTAAAGCATCATAAAACGACGCGAAATGACCGGAGACCGTGAACAGTCAGGACTTGTTCTCACTTAGGCCCATGCAATCAAATCATGGAATGAGAACAGAGCCTTGTCGAAACGAGCGCAAGTAAGAGCGTAACGATCAGTACACACACTACACACGCTGCAGCCCCCAGCCCACTCGAAGAAAAAGTGACAGCGTAAAGAATCTTCTTATTCTAAGGTGTCTAAAACGACGCGAAATGACCAGAGACCGTAGGTAAACGGTCTAGACTTGTTCCCACTTTGGCCCATGCAATTAAATCATGGAATGGTAACAGAGCCTCGTGACACGATTTATTTTTTTGGTTCGAGCAGGTGGTTCCAATGACAATACTGCCAGTGACAATAAGGAACCTAAAAGTGGTAAGTTTAAAAAACAATGCCTCTCAAGACTCTTATCTCTGCCTTCCCTCGGTGAAAATATTTCCCAAGAAACAACCGAACGCAAGATAGAGAGTAAAGAATTTCACTCTCAGGGTGTCAACTAAAACAAGCTGGCCAAAAGTCAATACTTAAACAGTAATTTTTCAGTCCGTTCCCAAGCAATTCTGTACCTCATCGGGAAAATCGAATACTTTTTCAGTACCTCCAATTGACGAAATCCGAATAATTTAAAATTTTGGAATTTATCGTTCGAATTGCGACATAACAGACAAAAAAACGAAAAAAAATTTCGGACCTCCGGCGGAATTTCTGCACTTTTTCAGTCCCTCCTGACAACCCTTAAGTGCTCTTTCCGAACTTGTAGACACCCTGTACACACGCTGCAGCCTACTCGATGAAAAAGTGGCACGTCTACAGAATATTTCCTCCTCCAAGTTGTCATAAAACGTTGATGCGAAGTGACCGGAGACCATAAACAGTCTAGACTTGTTCCCACTTTGGCCCATGCAATCAAATCATGGAATGGTAACAGAGCCTTGTCGAAACGAAGATGTGTCCACCCGTTGTAGACCACTCGATTAAAAAGTAGCATGTCTACACACTGGAAAAAAACACATTGGATCTAGAGTCCCAACTCTTAAAAACATCGGCAAGAAAAAGTACTCTTGATTCAATCAGAATCTAGCTTGAATCAAGAACCAAGCCTCTTAATTTAAGCGGATTTCCGATTGAATCAAGAGTATTTTTTCTTGTCAATGTTCTTAAGAGTGTGGACTTTAGATCCAATGTTGTTTTTTTTTTTTTTTTTTTTTTTTTTTTTTTTTTTTTTTTTTTTTTTTTTTTCCCAGTGCAGAATCTCCCCATTTTAAGGTCTTATGAAACGACGCGAAATAGCCGGAGACCGTAAACAGTCTAGACTTGTCCCCACTTTGGCCCATGCAATTAAATCATGGAATGGTGACAGAGCCTCGTCGAAACGAACGCAAGCAAGAGAGTCAAGATTCGTACACACGTTGCAACCCACTCAATCGAAAAGTGGCATGTCTACAGAATCTTGCCTTTGGCACAAAATTTGGGAGTCCCCATGCCCTAGTGGGGAACTCAGATTTTCTGGGTCCAAGTCTGAATTGTACATGTATGAGGCAGAGATGGTTCCCGGAACATTCCATGCTTTTTTCCGGAGGTGCATGATCCTTATGATATTTTCCACGGAGCTGCGTACAGCGCAAGTTCAGACTACTTGCGTATACTGCAGCCAAGTTTCAACGCGGATTCTTTGAAAAATGTCTTAACTGCACCTTGCATTGTATTCCGTGATATACACAAGATTAGTTCGTCAACTATAGTTCCATAACATTCCCAGAAAATAACATACAAATAACACTGAAAATAAATGCCGTGCAAACGTGAAAATACAATACAAAAAACAAAGCTGTGGAATTCTCGAGCCAACATTGAGATATTGGTCAGCGCAACAACAGAAAAAAAAAAAAAAAAAAAAACCCAAAAAGAAGAAAAAGAAATTTTTTTAAAAAATAAGAAATTAAAACACAGACCTAAAAATACCTGATATGATCACTTGGTCAGAGAAACGAAGATGTTTTACTTATTTAAAAATTCTGTACTTACGCGTGCAAATCCAAGAGAAATCTGCCAGGACTCCACCGATTACTTCAGAAGAAACTTGACCACGATTCTTGAGTCACTTTCGTGATATCATGTGCCTCCGACGATTAAATTCGTTACATTGTTTTATCAATTTAAATTAGTTTATTTTATTTTGGTTTCAATGATTTTATTAAATTATTTATTTCATTAACCATGATTCTTGAGTCACTTTCGTGACACCATGTGCCTCCGACAATTAAATTCAGTTTATATTTCATTTTAATAATTTAAATCGTTTTATTTTATTTTGGTTTCAATGATTTATTAAATTATTTTATATTTATATTCTTTTTTTCTTTTTAAGACTTGTATTTTGATGGGACGCACAGTCAAAAAAAGACAAGTTGAAAAGATGTAGTGAAGTGAGGATTCAAAAAGGTATGCTGGAGAAAACAGGTTGGGAGGGGTAGATACATGGATTAAAGGTGATTACTCAAAGGAATATAGGGTACCAACACCATCTTCACACCTTGAGGCCCACCAAGGTGACTACCAATGCTGATTGACTGAGCCATGGAAAACATACAAAGGGACTTCAGAAGGTAATTTAGGAAAGGAAATAAAAATACAGATGGGTGGTAAAAGGTTCAGGAGGAAGAATATGATTCAGGAAAAAATTACTTGAATTAAAATTTAGAACTGACGAATGTGGATGAATTGGGTAAGTTTTCGTCCAGAAAGCTTTGTGGTTAATCAAATTTTAGTACAAAAATTCAGATCTTTTGTCTGACTTTGATATCAAAAATTGATCTGTTAATGAGAGTAAAGTCCCATACTCGTTTCTTAAGAATGGAATTAGAAATCAGGCTAGAGACGATTTGTTTTGCCAGCATACGATGATTCTAGCAGAGAGCCAAGACTTTGAAAAGATGACTGGAAAAGACATGAAAACTGAAAAATCTTCGTCGTTGATAAAGCTTGTTCAGCAATTTTTCAATTCTTGCATTAACTGAGAAGTATGGAGTGCTCTCAGTTTATGGGAATTTTCCCAGATTGTTTCGGAACGATATTAACCTACAAAAAAAAGGGTTGAAAATGACGAAGCTTGAGCTCCAATTTTAAGGCGCGGCGCCACTTGAAAAAAAAAATAATGAATAAACAATGGCACATTTTGCACTTGAATTCTAACATACATCGATGACGAAGCCAAGATGGCTTTGAAAAATATCCCTTTCACTGTAGGTACACTTTTGATCACACAGTGCCCCTCTGCAATGATAAATTGTTCATGCAGTCTTGCATTGATAAAAGCTGCACGACCATGAATTGCGGTAGATTATTAATATGCTGATGATGGGACCAATTGGTACGTTAGCACAATTGCACTTCAAATTGGACGCAACTAGAGTTGCTTTAAATTCTGATCAGGCACCTTCAACTTGGATCAGTATAACGGCATAAATTGCCCAATTTCTTCTCAAGTATTATTCATTTGACCAAAGAATGGGCAACATAGAGCCTTAAAACCTTCCATGAAATTTGCACAGAATATGCTCACCAAAGAAGAAAAAAATAACACAAGCGAGGGAACACTGATTGTGAGTTATACTGAGGATATCCAATTTCTAAGAGAGGGGAAAAATTGACGGTTCTAGAAACAAGGAAAAAACTTGTTTCGTTTATTTCAGAAACAAACTGAGTCCTACTGATTACCGGGCACAGACTGGTCCCACTAAAAATGTGCCGATGATGCATATGATTCTATTATGATAAGGACAATCCATTTAAAAATCTGCCAATTTTTCCTGTCTGGCTTGAGAAAATGGTTTTGAGATTAGTGCATGATGGCGAAGCAGACGACGTTAAGGTGATTTGGCATTTGCCATTTTTTGTGTCAGAGCGACGTGCGATATATTGCATCAATTCGTTCCATAATTTCAGCTACTTGGTCACTTTTTTCGAGGTTTTTGAGATTGCACTTCTGTTGTCATAAAACTAGAGAATTCATGTACCAACTTTGACAAAAAAATTCAACGTATTAAGGCAGGGTTTTTTCAGAGGAACAATATCGCATTCGATACTGATATCGAAACTGCACTCGAATGCGATAATTTTCCTCTAAAAAACCGCTGCCCTTAATACGTTGAATTTTGTTGTCAAATTCGCTACATGAATTCTCTAATTTCATGACAGCAGAAGTGCGATCTCAAAATTCGAAAAAAATGACAAGTAGCTGAAATTATGGGACGAATCAATGCAGTATAACACACGTCGCTCTGGCACAAAAAATGGCAACCAACGAAACACCTACAGTCAGAGAGACTGACGCATCTCAGCACCTCTGTTCACGGAATGAAATAGATCACACATTATGTATGGAATCGGTAGACAAAATTTTATGTGCTTCGAAATTACAGACTTAAAAATTAACGACTGAAATATCTACACTGGTACATTTGAAAAAATTTTGTAATGTACAGACGAATTTTGAACATAAAATGCTCTCCGATACAAACACATAGCTATCAACATAACAAATAAAGGAGACCCTTGTGTCCAAATAAAAGACTATCAGTAGAGAAGGTGGCACTTCAGGGTTGATAAGTCTAATCAGGGTATCTGTGGATGTTCCGGAAAAAAATTCTCGTCTTCATTGGGCTTTATGAATAGAGAGATCTAAAGAAATTTTCGGACTTATTTGTCACACAGTTTGTTAATTCTCTCCGACTGTGCAAGAAAAATAGGAAAATATCTGTATGTGTCAAATTTAGCCGCCAAGTTCCCATTCGATAGTCATGAAAAATTTACAGTAAAAATTTTAATGAAATGCATGCCTTCACTTTCCTTGCGATCAGTAAAATATTAACTATGATCCTGAAAAGCCGCGACCGAGATGATCCCTGCTCACACAGAGCGCTTCAGTTACGGTCTGGGTGTGTTTGATTCTCCGAACAAACCTCGTTCTAGTAAAGATGCTTAGCTTTATTAGAAAATTTGACTGGAATGATCAATAACGCTGACTGATGGTTCAAACGACTTTTCTGGAGGAAGTACAATGATAAAATGCTTTGCAACTCTATGCAAACTATATGCTTCAAAATTTCCGAAACATCTGAGATAGCTTAAAAAAAATCCCGCATTTACTGCGATTCTTGCTATTGATACAACCTTTACAAGGGTCTATAATTTACAGCTTCAACAATTCAATCAAAAGGTAGAAATAAGCAGGCAGAGTACTCAAAGATGCACCTAACATAGTGGCCATTAGATTTCTCGGTCTTCACAGAAGACATAATATCCTTATTATAAACACACAGTCCAAAAGACTCAATCTACCAACTATGGGTGAAAATTAGTACAGTCACACCACATGAAAATGAGGGTAGGAAACGTTCTTATTATCCTTACTGCGGCCAATCTTTTCGACTCAGATGAGCTTTTTTTCAGTGCAATAGATGGGTTCATGCCAAAATGTGACTTATAATTTCAGTACATTTTTACACTCACTGCATGAATTGGATGAAAATTGAATACAATTTATGACTAGATCTGTGAAAAGGGACCATGTCTTTCCGGAGAAAATTTGTCTGAACTTTTAGCAACAACCTTATATAAGTCCCAAACAAATATATTTTTGGCAAATCAAAATTGTGCTAACTTCATAAATGTTGCTACCCTTCTCACAGATCTGGTCACATCGACGTTTTTTAACAAATTTTCGTAGTTATTTCTGTCTTTGATGAAAAAAAACCTTCAGGGGAACTGAGAAAAAAAGAAGGAGTTGAAGGGAATATTCAGATGGGCAACTCTAATCAATTTGGCGTTACATCCATTAAAGTAACTTACCAAATTTTAAGTGGTAAAATATATGAAATAAGAATGTATGAAGTCAATATGAAATACGGTCATTACTAATATTCAAGTACTGACTTGGAACGTTCCTATACAAATAGAGACTTCTTCAGATTGATTACTTTTCCGAAATAAAATTTGAACACCTTGAATCCCTAATAGGAACTGATTGGCATGCTAGAGAAAAACATACCAACATTCAAATACCGCCTGATTTCAACAGAAAAGACATCATTTTTCAAGAAGACATGTGAACTAGTCTTCAAAATTTTTCAGATTTTAAGGTCAAAAATTAATTTAACATACATGAAGACGTATATGTATAAAAAAAAGGGGAGGGGACCTTGGCATCTAAGATTGCCTGAAGAAAGTTCTGACCTACCTGACACCTGAAAAAAAGCTCACAGTGAGGAACTGTGCAAATGAAAGTGACTGAATCCTTGCACTTATTACATGGGACCGAGTCACCTTGAAAAACAAACTAACAGTCTTAAAAAATATATATGAGCTAATTACAATTAGGTAAAAAAAATCAGTAAAAAGTTCTCAATATTTACACGATAAGAAATTAACAAAAGACAAGGAAAACCAGCCTCAAGTTAGCGTTGAAAGAGGCAGGTTTCGAGGTAATATCAAACCCAGTATTGATTTCTTCTGAGCATGGGAACGTGTTGGTTCTGAGCATAATTGGATTCAGAGGGCTCATAACTGCTCCAATCCTCATCAACGGTACCGTAAGGGTACCTGAAATTCAAATCTGCCTCCGACCGTTCCGGTTCGGAACTGGTTACAGAGTTCGGATGGCTCATGGGGATCACCCTACACCTAGTTGAGGGAGGCGCGTGTCGTTTAGGGTGCGGTGAAGAGGGCATCAAGTCATCCGGGGGTCGCGGTAAGGGTAAAGGCGCAGGGAGGTCCATTTTATCATTTCCTGGACTATCACACGGAGGCTTGGACCTACATCTAACGAGAATCACAATAAATATCGACAATGCTATCACCCCACTTATCATACACACGAATAAGAGGTAATCGTCGCTCATGTTTGGACTGGCGATCTCTACCCCTGAGTCAGGATTGATCGAAAACTTTTGACCTGGAATTCGGGGCCAAGACGGAGAGAAAGTTGTCGTTGGAGTGCCGAGTTCTCCAATGACTTGAAAACGTAATTCTTCGATGGCTGGTTGAAAGGCAGCCACAGAAAGCATAAATTGGAAGCTGTCTTCCTGCGTATCCGGGAATTTTTTAGCAACATAATATATTACTCCGCTACGGATTTCTTCATGAGAAAATTTGCTAACTTCTTTCTCCTTACTCGAATGTTTCTCACCTGAGCTTCGAATAATTTTCTTCAATTTGCCCCATTTGGGTTTCCGTAATATTCTATAGAAAGGATCCGCGTTGGAGAGTTTTGCTAGTTGACTAGCATCTAAGAAATCAGTTGTGAGTTTGACCTTGGTCCCCGAAAAGGGAACGAATTGTCCTGCTCTGAACAATGCATCCACCGTTACATTAACATGAATATTATTAACTTTCGGAGCGTCTTCGAAAGAAAAGAAGGCACATAGCTCAAACTCATCGTTTGGAGCTGTCATATTAGTCTGAACATACATTACTCGTTTAGAAGTGAGATCAGAGTGCTTAAAAGAAAGGCTAGAAAAATTATGAACGAGAATTATTCCATTTTTAGGCAGTGTAGTAACATTGAACATGATACTCTCAAGTTTAGTGTTTGTTTCTATGGAAAAAATAGATTCAGACAATAGAACCGAACTGGAGCCTTGCTTAATGAACATGTCTTTCAGTAGAGTTATGTTTAATTTGATTGGGAGTACAGCGATGTTAAAAATGGTGTAATTCGGAGTAAACTGCCCGTCCCAAACTCGAAAATAGAAGCTGGTCGCTTGCAACGGACCGTCATGGACGTATATTACCCGTCCACAATTAACATCAGCCTGAGTGAAACGATCAACATTCGTGCTACCATTCAAAATCAAATGACCGTGGCTGGGGGCACTCACAATTTCATAGAAAATCTGATCTGGTTCAGTGTCCAAGTCTTCCGTAGCAAGGTACTCATCAGTAATAATATGGCTCTGACCTTGAACGACCGAAATTTTCGGAGAAGTTGTCAATAGTTTGAACGGTTGATCGTTGACGGGGAAAATTTCTAGCGCCAACGAAATATTACAAAGAAGGACATCCCCCGGGTCAAGAAGGAGCGAAAGAAGGATTTCGTCGGTTGTTGTGTCAGAATGATCGTGACGGTACGTTACCATGCCTGAGTTGATTTGAGAGCGAGTGAAGACAGTGATGTTGCACTCTATACCATGCTTTGAAGCGCCCATCAGACACAGCACACCATTGCTGGGTGGAGCAAGGACGTGGATCTGAATTTCAGGGCTGATGATGCCGACGTTTTCTTTCAGAAACGAGACGAGTCCAGATGTGTTCAATTTGATGGGTATGGAGCCACCCTCTTCTGTTTTAAGTGCGATCTTCTGGTCAAGGAGTTCGTCAATACCTCCGTGAGAGACCGAAATGTCGATGTTAAAAACCTGGAAGAAAGAATCAAAACATTATGCTTCAATTAAGATTGAAAAAGAGATTTGTTGTTCCGAGTGATGGACAGCAGGAGTGCATAGATTTCCGATTGAAATTTTCCCACATCTCTAACTTTAATGCCAACTCACAAGCCTTGAAGTTTTATTTCTTTATTTTATTGGGTGTCTAGTTTTATTTCATTTCAAGAAATCCTGAGTTTTGACTGTTAAATCCTGATTTCATAATTTTTCCAAATCCTAATTAACTGCGGAGAGAAATTAAAATTTCTGCCTGAGCGTACGCGAAAGCAGAACTCTAGAATTTCGAACGGCCCACTTTTCTCAAATTCTGATTTTTTGACAGATTATCCCTCACAACCTGATGAAATCAGGATTAAATCCTGATAGACTTTAAATCCTGATAAGAGTCAGAAAAATCCTGATGCTAGACACCCTGTTTTGATTTCTCTCAGGAGTGTTAAATTTTTCTCAGGGTTATATTTTCCCCTCATATCCTGAGACTCAGATAAGCCAGATCCATGCCAGATGAGGTATTTGTTACACCAAATTAAGACTAATGAATCTGTTACAGTTTGATACCGAAAAAAAACCTTTTTGTTATTCATTTCCATAATATTACCTGTTAAGGAGCCAGCCTTCTTGGACTTAGAGGTAGAGTTTTGTCAAAAGATTCTTCAATGGAGTCCACATAAAAAACTCCAATAGACATTCTCTCACTTCAGAAGTTTTTCTTCGTTTTTTCCCCTCTCTCTTGTAAATTGTAGTATTAGATCAAATTTTATGCTGAGTAGATAATGGAAGCATGTTCGTACAGAACAGAGCATGGATTCTCATTTTTTCTTACAAGGACTTCTTAAAGAGTTCCGAGAGCAATTCAAAGGACTATTCTACACATTAAAAAAAAAAGTTAAAAAGCTTGAAAAATCTAATTTATATAATTAAGCGGTAATTGCATCTGGAAACTGTGGAAAAGAAAGAGAAGGTCAGGAGGCAGCATTCATGTTTGTTATTTATATCCTAAGGCTTTCTTAACCATTGTATAGTTTAGGGCTAAACGAAGCCTATAAGTTTAGGGAACAACTATGAATTTCAGTCCCATGCCCTCGGACTCCTTTACGATATGTCAATTTATACAATGTTAGATACTAAATGCATTAATTTTTTATAAGATAGCAATCGAACCTGATCACGAATGGGCTCAGCAGATGAGGAAAATACGTCAAATAGAAAAGAGTCATTGTTTGCGCTCTCGCCGAACGGTGTTTTATGCTGGTACCATATGCTGGATTGGTTCACATCCGCCTGGGAGAAATTCGACGCTGTCAACGGAGTGGAATTGTTGACCAGTAAAATGCCTTTGGATGGAGATCGTTTTATCACGAAAATGACTGGGGCATCCTCATCTGAACAAAGAGCCAGGAGATGGCTTGCTGTGATGGGTTTTCGGAGAAGAGGGAAAACGTGAAGGCGATTCTTCTTCCGTACGATCAGGTTTGGCTGATTCCATTTTGTTCTGAAAGTGTGAGGACCAGATGATTTGACTCCATCGCTAAGCACGAAATCAAACTCACCGTTCATTGGCTGACCTGAAAGACGATTCGTAAAATATTCTTAATCTTTCGTCCGTCATTTATAATCAAGTAGAATTGTAAAAGTTTATAATTCATTCGTTCATTACTATCCACCAAAAAACGAATTTTGGTAAATAAAAGCTGAAACTTGAGTTAATAGTAAACTGCATGATGGTAAGTGTTAGCAGTCTTTTAGTAGGAAAAACTAAAAAGTCGCATGAAAATAAAGTTTGGACAATTTGAATAGTGCAATGCAAGACACAATTTTTATAAAATCTTTTCAGAAGTTCAAATTTTCCACAATCAAGGCTCACAAATGTGGGATGCAAATGCACACTCACACCTCTCTGATGGCATAAAAAAGATTGGCATTGTGATTAACTCTCTTGGATACTTCAGCATTTTCCATCGTGACCCGAATTCAGGTTTTGAACTCTTCTTGTCAAAAGTCACTCGACTAAAAAAAGTATGTTTTCACATTAAAATCCTTTCTTTTAAGAAATATCATTCATTTTTATGGCATTGCTGGATTTTCCAATCATTTTTCTTATTCTGTTTTACCATGGAGGACTTTAATACCTGCATCTTCTTATTAAAATTCACACAGCACTTATTTATTACTTTTTATGATGATAGATTTCATCTGCTTTTGATAACTATGCTTAGTTGTGTATGTTTTTAATTTTGTTCCTCTGGGATTGCTCCCTCTACTAGTAATGTCACCTTGTTTCTTGAAGGAGCTAAGCCATTTAAAAGAGCCTTCAAGAAAAGAATCCCATTGGATTTGCGTACCTGAGTGGACAAAAACGATGGAATTGTTATTGATCTGCTCTTGAGTAAATTTGTCGACCATCTGTGAGATGCTTCCTTTAATTGCTACATGACCATTCTGAGCTGATACAATTGCAAAGGTTAAATTTTCTGGAGGCGTGTCTTTGTCAGAGGCAGCTGGAAAAGAAAAAGAAAAAAGTTTAAATATAAATATTATTAGTTTAACGCTTCAGAGGAAAAACTCTCAGGCTCTCTCAGTAATGATCCTTTGCACCTGAAGATGAACGAATGAAATTTGACTTTCATTAGTGCTAACTAATGAAAATGACAAAGTCAAGGCAGCAATTGATTTTTCAACACCAACGACCAAAAGGCACAAAGCTTCTAGAGAATAAAAACGCATGAATACAATTTGAAGCCTATCTTTTAAATTAACTTGTGCTAAAATCAGAGTTTTAGAGGAATGCTTATCAGCTTTCTTCTTAACCCTTTGAGTACCACGCCCGAGAATACTCGGGTTGCGGCAAGCCACCGTCACAGACCACGCCCGAGTATTCTCGTGCTGCGCCTCGCGTTCGTATTTCCCGCTCTAGCTCCCTTGTTTTTCAATGAAATTAAGTATACAGCATATGCGCACTCTGTCGGCAAATATGTGAACTACATCTTTATCTTATCCTTGACAGAGAGCGCCACTATCGGCGGCCGTATTCCTAACGCGGCCGTCAAAGGGTTAACTAGCAAAAGAAATTAACTTCAAAGAATGCCTTCATACGAAAATAAATTCAGAATATTTGAATAAAAAAGAAAGAGAGAGAAGACAGTTCTTCTGGATGGCCAAGGACAAAAATACGAGACGACAGTTAATCTATTGACTTACAGGTACATTCATTCAAATTAATTTGACTCTAAGATATGATTAAATACTTATGGAGAATTTAAAAAAAAAAATCCTTCAGTTTCAATGCATCTTGAGCCCTGTTTTCCAGAATTTCCAGGCAATAGAGGGCACTTTTGGCTTCAGTATCCAGGATGCTGAGAAATGCACAACTTTTTGTCGAACAGAAAAACGGAGGATTTTACATGAGTCTTACCTAAAAACTGAGGGGAAATAACTTTGAATCCTCCTCGCCAGAGGGATAGAACTGTGTTGTTCACCACGTTCGGAGGCTGATCGTTAACTAGTGTTACATTCACGTGAACGTTGGCTGGCGTGCTTTCTTTGTCACCAGCTTTGGCAATCAGAGTGAAAATATCCCCTGACACTTCGCTGCCATCATGAACGTACTGTTAAAATTAAAACAAAATCCAAAAAATAATTAATCGAAAACACATGAACATATGAGGACATATATGTAACAATGGCGGTCGCTGACATCCGCCATTTTTAGGGCAAACACTTTTTTCGAAATCTAGAGCCTCCAAGGAATGCCTGTGCAAAGTTTCAGACTTCGAGCACAATTTTTCGGCGAGATATGACCTGAAAAACATGTTATTTGTGAAAACAGCATGAGAATCCACTGTTTTCCGCAGCCGGCGCGGCAGAACACTGTGGAGATTCGAACCGACTTGTGATAACTGCCAGCCCACCGGCCATGGGCTGTAGCTGACACTCAAATTATACGTATCGGGACTGTCTCGCCAGAATTATTGAATTTTTAACTGATTTTAGAATTTGTTCCTTGTTTTTGTTGTAAAAGTTACAAACGGTTTAGTTTCTTGTTCAATTTTGTTAAGTGAATCAGCATTGACTTACTTTTGGTTCATTTCAATCGTTTCACCAGCCTTACCCTTCCAGAAAACTTTGTTACATGCATAAAAAAGTGTTTTCAGTAAAAATAGCGGATGTCACATTTTTTTTCAGATCGCTGTTACTCCTTCAATTTTTCATTTACATACATCGTAAAACGTGTGTTTTTTACCAGAAGAGTTGCTCTTCATGAAAATCTTTATAAGAATCCTCTCGGTTTTCGGGCAGAAAAGTGCAAAGCTTTAAAAACTTCAAACGCGATTTTCTCACAATGTGAAAACTCGACATCCGCTATTGTTACAGATAAGTCCTCATATTTACATGGTAAAAGCAAGACTTAAGGATCACCTGAAATTAATCTTTCTTTTCTATCTGAAGTGCAATTAGCTTGCATTTTAGAACATACATCTGCATATTATGTTTTGTGGAACAAAGAAAATTTAGAAATTGATAAGTCATAAATAAATAACTGATTCAATTCTTCAAAAGAAAAGAAAGGAAAAAAACAACGTACCAATATTTGCCCTGCCTGAAGCTGCTGCGCAGAGAACCGAGAGATGGAATTTTTTGAATTTGAGGAAGTCGTTGAAATGATTTTGCCGAAGCGCGGCTGTTTAGTGACATGATACTCTGAGATCAGCGGAGAATAGTATTCGCTCAGTACTGGAACTAGTAGAGGGAGCAACGTCACACTTCCGCCCTCGTCAACTCGCATCTGACCGCTTCCGAGGAAAAGAATTTCGGGTACAACGACAATATTCACCTGAAATAATTCAGAGAATGCAAATTTAATCTTATGGAGATAAAAATACATAAAGAAATAAAGAACTGGATATTTTGATTTGACATGATAATTAACAGCTTGAACACCCTCTCAAAATCAAAGGCCCAAGAACTTTGAACTTGTTGATTAATAAGAATTAGGTCAACTTGGAGATGCAGAATATCAGTTCATCCTAAATTTTTGGGGGATCCTGAGACTGGGCCATACGATCAGTATAATCCGAATATCTTCACCGAAAGAAAGAAATCAGAACGCCTGTCAACTTTGCCATTTGTCTGGTACCCATGAAAACCAGCAACACTCACTTGATTGACCTGCAAGGCTGAAAAATTATCCTAGCACTAACCCTTCCTGTCCCAAGTAATCAGTGGTAAAACACACGGTACAAAAATGATACCGATTCCTAGATGAAATCAGTCAATCCTCATTTCAAATAAAAAAAAAACAAAAAAAACCTCATGCACAAAAACACTGATTTATTCCAATAGGGGGCAAAAATAGACAACGGCAACCTGATACTCAAGGCAGTATTTTTTAAGTTCATGTTACAGTGTTTTACTGTTTTCTTACTGTTCTGAATACTTTACACATTAAGTTAGGCAGGAAATTATACCTGGGTTTTAGGATATAGACTATCCTGCCCACCAAAAAAAAAAAAAAAAAAAAAAAAAAAAAGAGAAAGAAATGAAAAGGAGTGGGAAAGAAGAAAATTAAGTGATGAGAGGACAGATGGAAGATACTTACAATAATACCACGGGACCAAGTGATGCCGTTGGTGATGTCCAAAACTATTCTATCCTTCGTTTGGTTGGCTGTCGCTTGAACGTAGTGAACTTTGCCGCTATCGATCATCGACTGGTCGAAAGTTGTGAGGATCCTGTCCTTCCCATCCTCCGACGAATGCTCCACTTCCAAGTACCCATGCATTGGGGATTTCCTAACGTGATAAATGATATCTGATGGAAGGACATTCGATTGCTGCGCCTGGAAAAGGTACAAAAATATGAATTTGTAATCCAAAAATGAAGTTGAGAAACGGATAGTGATCACATTGACCCGCAAAAAAAATACCATCCTTTTTTCAATTAAATTATTTATGAAGATTCAATTGTTGCATACAAATAAAATAATAAACTCTGCATTATGAATTGATGTAATTGTAAAACAACTGCTTGTTTTATTTAGAGGTGGTACTAAGTTTACTTAAAGGATATGAGCAAAACTGAAATTTCTGAATGGCTGATTCTTCATTAATAAAAATAAAAAATCAGGATACCTAAAACTCGAGACAGGGTTTCCATCATTTCATAATTTTCCAAATCCCTGTCTTTCCCTGACTTACAGCTTTTTTTTTTCTGACTCAGAAATTTCAGAATTCTCAGACTTTTCCCTGACCTTCGATTGAAACTTCCACTTAGATTTTGTAATCTTTCAATGACACTAACTTTCCTGGAGCTTTGGATGAAAATTCCACTTCATAAGATTCAAAGTAGGGAAAAAGCCACATGGAAGTTGTGCACGCTTCCTTGAATGGCACCATCAGAAGTTTCCAAGCCAATGCACAACTTGCCAAATTCCCTTTTTCATTTAAATTCTCCCACTTCCTAAGTTTTCAAGACTATTGAAAACCCTGCTGACGGTATAAACATTACAACTACAAAACTAGATCCATCCTCAGGTTTTTGCCAATATTGAACTATTTCTGGGTAAGAAAAAAAAGAAATTAAGAAAAAAGACATTCGTAGCTAAAATATCAAAATTAGGATGGCCCAGAGGAATGTTTGGCCAAGATTAAGCCTTGTATAACATTTAAAAATATCACTGTTCAAAATCTGCAGTTCACATAATCGAAAAGTTATTCAAAGTTTCGATCTACAGCTTCCTAAGCTTAAAATTATCACAGTCAAGGGCGCTATCCCACACCATTTTCTCTGCACAGAAATGAACAAAGTCGCTCGCAACTTGTGTGAAAAAAAAATTATCCTCCCGAAGCTCAAAACCTGCTTTTCGGACTCTACTTAATAAAAGTTGCTCTGCAAAAAATATTGCCTCTATGCTTTGGGGTCCTGATTATCAGACAGAAAAAACTCACTTCCTGTACGTCTTCATTTGACAAGAGTCGTACTCATCATTCATCACTCATGTCACAACGCAAACAAGCGCTTTAGAAGCAATCTTACCAGCAATACTTGTTGAGTGATTTTCACACTTGTTGACTCTTCGACGATGAGGGTCGACTGGTTCAGGACAGATAGCGGCTCCCAGTAACTCGCAGGAAACACTCTGATGTTGAAAATGTCCTCCTGTGTCACACTTTCTGCTGCGATTCTGAATTTGAAAGCATCCTTGATCGAATCTTTATTGCCGTTGTGCTGGTACAGTAGCTTAAGGTTTGTCACATTGCCTTGGTAGAACGTAGATGTAGGAGAAGACTGATTTACTAGCCGCAATTGACCGTGCGATGGTCCTTCGATGATGTCATACCTGAGACAGAGAAACATTTATGATATTTTTTATGAATGATTTGTAACTGCTGTTCAGAAGATTAGAATTTTTGAAGAGCCTTTAAAACACTACAACATTGTGAAAAGAACTGAAATGAATCTACATTCAACGGAACAAGACGGCAACAGGAGTTATGAGTTACTAGGGCTCCAGTAAAAAAGAACAATCTACTAAAGATTTGCATAAGCTTGAAAAAAATCGAAGCTAAAAACTGCGAATCATGACATGAACATGGTCTTCATTCAAACTTTTTGAGGGTTTGTTTGTGTTTTTGTTTTTTTTTTCCAGTTTACTAAAACTCATATTATATTAACTACGTCTTTTGGTTGAACAAAATACACACAATTCAAAATAGTGCTTTGATTCATCTTCATAATTCCAGCGACACAAAGTGTAATCTTTGACGACACATATCACTGTTAGAGCAAAGCAAAATATCTATCCCGATGGACTTTCAAAATGAAGGCTAAAACTCTCACCTCAATGAGCCCAGGGGAATGTTAACGTTGGTCTCCGAGAAGAGATTCTGACTCGAAATAAAGCTGGAGCCTCCTTGCTGTAACACCAATTTCGTGTTGTTAATGATGCGGAGATACGGTTCAGAGGCCTCGATCTCCAAGACACACTCTGTGTGATGGACTCCATCAGATACCCATAAACTCACGTTGGCATTTTCTTCCCCGTCATGCTGGAAGACGATTAGACCTGCATTGATTTCCGCCTGAAAGAGAGAAATTGTTTTTTTAGTGACATTATCCCTATATCCTATAAAGGAGAAAAAAGGGAGAGAAGGAAAAAAGGATTTTCTTAGTGAAGAAACCAATCCTTTCAAAAAGTTGAAAGTTCATGGGAAAATAGATCCTACTATATGTTGTGATTGTTCATGTGCTTTTACGATTGAATAAAAAATCATCTTAACTACAGATCATTGTGAAGAGTTCTTGAATAATCAAAAACTTTCCGGGACTACATATGTTGTTCTTGCATGATCAAAAGTTTGCGAAAAAAAGTAGTGCTCAAGGGAAAACGATCATCAACTCCACTTCAGCATGGAAAAATCTAGATAAATTACTGACAAATGGGCAAAAACAAGATGGCAACCAAACTTTGTAAGCTTGTAACTGGATCTTCACCGTGTTGAGAAGAATCCATCATATCAAGGTAACTTTTAACAAGGTGGTAACTTTCGATTTGTCTCCAAGTCAGAGAAGAGGGTGGAGAAAAAACGAAACGAAAACCTCACTTAGGTAAAATTGCAAAAAACAAATCTGTGAACCTGAGAGAAGTCGAACAGAGGCACTCCAGGGTTGAGGATGCTGAAAATATTTCCTTTCGGTAGAACGTGTCTTGTGTAATGAATATCTTTGGGAGTAGAATCAATGTCACTGTCGGTGAATTCCAGCACATCCTTCGTTATTGTGCGCTCTCCTTTCTTCACTACATGCAAACACTTGCTGGTGACGCAGATAGGCGGATTGTCATTTTTCAATGATACAGAAATGTTAAACGTGCTGACAAACTGTAAAAAATTATCACACAGCGATTTAAAGAGAAAGTCACTGAGTACTTGAATGAGAAACAATCATGACCGATTAGAACTGAAATAAGAACACATTGGTGGTGCCTACACAAAAATCAATACCTCAATTGGTGAGTTTCAGAATTAAATTTCAGCTCTTTGATTTTTTCAAATACAAGGTACAATACATCTCCAATTTTTGCAGGAAATGTTCCTTTAAGGAAATTGCAGGAAATAATGTGCAATGACCATGATACGTCATTCATCCAAAAAATAAAATATGATTAGAGACCTGCAATGTCACTAACCAAGAGGCATGGTTTCATAATGATAATATCAAAATGTGATAATTTCTCGAAACGCGTTCTGTGGGGACAAAAACTTGATTTTCAGAGAGAATGAGTCTAAATAATCTTCCATCATTTATTTGATGGAACTTATTTATTCTTTCTTCAGAACTTAAAATTCAAATTTCACACCCACATTTAGATTAGGTTGGACTCCATGACTCAGCTAACAGCTTCGCTAAATCACACAGAGAGAGAGAACCTTGGTAGGAAAATACTTTCAATGCAATTTTTTCAACATACCATCGCCTTCCTGACAAAAGGGCGTAACAACACTCAATGGTGAGCTCTGTTGTCCATAAGCCTCGGTTCTTTCCCAGGCTCATCTCAAATTTTAGTTACGCCCTTCTGTCAGCCAAGTGATGATATTGATGTTTGGAACATTCTTCACAAGCGATTTTTAAATCTTTATAATTTAAGTTATGTAGCTCTTATATTTAAAGATTCATTACCTGAAAATCCTCCTGAGGACTGGAGAAGGCGACAAAACTAAACGTATCAGTGCGACTTTCAGAGTCATCGTGCTTATAGACGAGCCTCTCCGCTTCCAGCTCTTCAGTTGTAAAGTACGAGACGTTTTGTTTGACGATCGAGGAGAGAGCTGGATCTAGGATGCTGAGTTCGCCATAGAGAGGTGACTGCGTCACGTTGTAATAGAGTAGAGAGACTTCGTTGATCTCTATACTCAGCTGACTTTTTAATATCGTTTGAAGACCGCCTTCCATCACCTGGTTAAAAACAAAAAAATTTGAGAGAATTAGTGAAGCGTCCTTCTTCTTTGAGCAATGAGTGACTCAGTTCAGCAGGCTGTTCACTAAAGCACAATCATTAAGATCTTTGCTTTTTCATTACCTATTTTTGCCTTTTACTATGCTTCCCAAAAAAGTATTCTTTACAGGGGTTCCCTGAAAACTTTGTTTTTTCATTGCCACCTACTCACTTCTTTTTACTTTTTTTTACCTGAAGCGCATTCTGAACACTGACAAGGACTTTTTTCTACAAAACATTCAGCAATTTGGAATTGAAAAATGGAAAAAGGGAAAATCAGCAGGAATAACCAGATAGTGTTTTAAATTACGCAGACTCTAACTTAGTAAGATTTTGCAGGAGCGTCATATAACATTATTCTCAACAGAAATGAGTCAGCAAAAGAAAAGGTGATCACTCGTCAAATTTGGAGAAATAGTGGGGTTCAAACTGCTAAAGTCAATGAGAAACATAAGAGGGCTCAAAACTTTTATCACTCCTGTAAAAGCTATTTAATTTGGGCATTTTCACTGGAGATTAACCAAATTTTATGACAGTTGATAACTTTCATTTGAAGTGAAAAGGGCAACCAACTTCAAACAGAAATTGAAGGCCTGTTCTTCTTTTTCTTGTTTTTTTCAGCTGTTAAAGGAATGCACAATTGTGCGAATTCTTAAAGAGAGAGCTTGAACTTAATGAGATTTGAGGATGAGGATTTGAGCGTCGACCAGAGCGTTAATTTACAGCTCGAAATCTCTGAGATATCCCACATCCAGTTTCATAGCAACAGATTATATGAGAGAGATTTCTGAAATTTCTTCTCAGCGAATAGAAATTTTTGTTGACCATCACTTGAATGAACTTTCAAAAGATTTTAACAATGTTTCTGCCGATCTCACTTTGAGAGCTACAGATTTCCCCTGTTAAAAACAAGCAACGGTGATAATTAAGAAAATTGGAAAAGCTGTAAAGGAATCTATACTGCAGAAATCATTAGAAATTTCTCGAGGATTTAGAGAAGAAGTTAAACGATCACAAATTTCATACCTGAAGTCTGTCAAAGTAAGTTCGAACTTTATTCATGAGAGTTTTGTTTGGAGTGTAGTTGAATATCACACTGACTGATGTGATGGGTGAGCAGTGTTGTGCTGCCACTCGAATAGAAAATGAATCAGAGAGAGGGGAGTAGGTTGTTCGGTGAGTTTTATACTCAATGAAACCACTGTTCACATCCAGCTGAGTAAACGTCGAGCCAACTGACAAAATCTGACTTCTGGGGAGAAAAAAATGAGACAAAATAAAATTTATTTCATACATCTTGACCGGACAGTTCCAGTCATCACCAGAGATATTACAACAGAAGTAGAGAGAAAAATGGAAAAAGGAAAGTTTGACTATGATCGCACCTGCTTGTATTGAACCTGCTGAGAATTTTAAGTCCGATTAAATTGAAAATTTACAGTTGTTCAGTTGTTTCTCCTAAACTTTTGCAAAAGATGATTTATGTAGTAAAGAAACCTAATTACGACAGAATTTTCCCATCATAATTTGATTACAGAGAAGTAGTTTTCAGACTTGACTCCAACGTCTTCAAATTTTTATAAGTTGATAGAATCACTTGCATGGAGAAAAATCACAGGACTTGAAGATGTGAGAACAGGTTTTGTCAACAGAAAAGACATGTCCTGTTTCAAGTGAATTTAAGGTAAACCTGTAATGAACATCATTTATAACAGGTAATACAAAAACCAATTCCTTGTGGAACACAATGCTTATATTATGGACACATTCTGATTTAATTTTAACCCATTCAGCAATTTAAGTAGGAAAATAATGTAGCTTTGACGAAGAGTTCTTGGACAATTTGGAGGGGAATTTAGTCTTGTGCCTTTTTTAGGCTTAATTCCTACAAACTTAAAAGCATAATAAAAGAACTATCGTTAGCTTGTTCCCGGCTGAATGTTTTGGCGTTCATGTTCTCGTCATAAATAGATTGCTGCGAAGTCTCCACAATGTGTGTTTCATAAGAGATGTGCAGGAAGCATTCTTAAAACTTGGCAGTGCAATAAAAACACACCGCAGAAAATAGCAGTCACTACGACAGTTTTTAGCTGGGATATCTACCAAAAAAATGCTGCCACAACAAGCTCAGCAAAGTTGAAGAAACCTTACCTGCGCATAAGGATACCATAGAGGGGTAACTTGGTGACCTCGAAGAAAATTGAACTCGGATCAGTGTAAAGAGGATCCGTAATTAACATGAGATGATTTGCAGAAACCGGGACTTCCAAATTCGTCGTCATTTCCACAGCTTCATGATTTACCAAAACAAGGGAGAGCCTCACAAATGTCAGCCGAAAATCGTAGGTTGTGGCAGCTGAGATGTCTAGCACGGACACATTGAACTAAAATAAGAGAAAAATTAAGATGTAAATGATTGAATTAAATTAGAGACGGTAGGACTGTGTAAGGCTTCAGACAGAGAAATTTCAATCATTCTTGTTAAGGTATTCAGAAAAGCACAGGATTCATTTGTAGCCCTAAGTAAAGGTGACTGACTGAAATGTCACACAATTTCAATAAAAAGCCATAAGTGTACGGTCTACGCAAGAATTCCATTCAATTGTTCGTCTATTTATGAAACAATGTTTTCTTCAACAGAGGATGCTCACATGATACTACACATCAGAAAACCAAAAAAACTAAAATTTTAAAAATTAAACATTTTATAGTGTCTTTCGGAAAGTCAGAAAATAAAGTGAGAAACCGCCTTTAGTAGGCTGCTCAAATTTTAAAAAATTATCTCACTAGAGCAAGTCAATTTTTAAAAAATATTTTAAAATTCGGTCTTCAGTAAACTGCTCAATTTACTTTCACTTGGGTAAAATTTCTGGGCCATTAGAGGAACTGATTAACCGTAGTTACCATGACTAAAATTTTCCATTAGATGAACAGGAAAACTTTAGATATTATAGAGAAAAATTAATAATGACAGGTTGAAATTTCTGACACTCCTTCTTCAAGAAGGAGTCATTTGAAAAGAGGGGATTTTGAGGATCACCTATTCACACTGCACTTTATACTGCTTAAATGTATTAATACTCATTGCCGTGTACACGACTGACGAAAGGAGCTAGCTACACACTAATGTGAGCTCCTAATCATTTTTAATTGAAGCTTGATGACATTTCAAGGTGAATCCAGGGTTCGATTAGGGATAATTCAAGATTAGAGATGGCGCCACCAGTCACCACTGAGAATTTTACTTTCCTTCGACGATTACTTAAATAATATTCCGCGAATTAAAAAGGCAGATCCACAAGATATAGATTAATTTTTGCTTGATTTTTTGAGCCAAATCGCGAAGTTCCAAGCCTGGATTCACCTTAAACTCGGGCAAAAAAAAAAAAAAAATGTTACCCTGGGTCATAACTTACTTTGAATTCATCATAATCTGGTGACTCAGATAGGTGATGGTACTGAATTTCGTGACGCTGAAGCTGCTGATTGGTGAAATGATCCGTTTTCTGCCATATTTCTGAGTTATCCACTCGCTGTAACCTCTGCACACTGCCGTACCTTGGAGGAACTACGATCTGAAAAGGAATAGTATAAATTAAAAAAAGCTCAATGTCTTTAATTTTACATCTTCAATTGTAAAACTTCTGATGAGGACTTTGACCTTATACTTGTTACAGCCGAGGAAACTCGCAACAGGGAACCCTTTTAGAGCACTGCGCCCTGTTATACAAGCATTGGTGCCTTTACTTGAATTTGCTGCTGAATTAAGTTGGGAATTCAGATGAAGTAACAAATGAGAATTTAATACATACTTAAGTACAAAGCCTGGGTAATAGTGTTTCTGCAGCTATGACTCGCAGCTGAGGAAATGTTGCATTTGTATTTCTAACTCAGCAAGGAAAAAATTTTAAAGCAGATGTGACCTGTTCTGGGTCTTGCACCAAAATTGTATTAAGTACTGAAAGCTATGGGAGAGAATCAATTCTGAAAAAACCCATTTCAAACCATTTACGATAAAAATTAAAGAGCGACTACTCATGATTCGAGCAGGCTTAAAAAACAATAATTCAAAGATCTTCAAATAGGCCTTGAAAAAGCAAATACTTAGAGAGCACGCTTTCTTGAGGGGTATCACGGAAGGAATTAAATGGCAGTTTTTGAGAGAATTCAGCCTTTTATAATTGTGATCAAAAATTACCTCAGCATATTGTAGATGGAAAAAAAAAATATTAAGGCTCATTATTTGCCGAGATATTAAATAAAAAGGTATTTGAAAAACAAGATGTAAACTTTCGAATTTAAACAAGCTTTTATAACACCCAATGGATTACTGTAGAAAAGGAAATACAGTTATGACCAGAAATTTCAGTTATTCAAGCTGCACAGTGTGACCCAAACTCACTGCTTCTTGATGATGGCGGACTGAAGTCCATTGAAACAAAAGTACGCTCAACTCTTTCATCCTTGAAAGATGGCTTTTCATTGAAGTGTAATCGTATCAATTCAAAAGTGTACCATCAACAAAAATTGGCTGTCCCTATTATCAGGCTGATTTACGAGGGATTAAACAGAGAGTGAATCAAAATAAATTGAAGACAAAATTCAAGTCTGTGTACCTGATAGTTGATTACGATGCTTGGGTCATCAGAATTAGTAACGAAAGTCAGATTTCCTGGAGTGATCTTTGAGGCTGTTTTATGAACCAATTTCAGCCCTGTGTTATTGGCTAACTTTAGTTGAAGAGGGACGACCACGATGCGCAGATATGACGGAGCGCTCGTCTCGCTTCCATCAGACACCTGGATAGAAAAGAAAATAAGCCTAACTTAGGATACCAGTTCTGATAAAGTTGCGAAGGGACGAAGTTAAAAATAATACTAGGTGGGAATGGATTCAATGTGAAAAATATCCTGTATTTCTCAAAGTTTTTTCTGATTAAAAAGACAAGCATCCCTTCACTTTCATGATTAGACATTGGAAAATGTTGCCGCCGCGATTCGCCGGGAAATTTTTAAAATGTGCTTAGGAATCTGAAAACCAGACAGAAGCACCGATCATAACCTCCTGATCACAAAAATATGAAGCGAAATCGGCTATTTTCCAGATTTATTGTGAAATCGCCACAAAATCATCCGAATATATCCGCGAAATTGGCAAATTCCGTACATTTTCGTGAAATTCACGTAAGTATGCCTGTAAGACGAAATGCCGCGCTTTTTTTCAAAATAAGAAATTATGGAGTTATTTCAGAGCAGTGTTTGAAACTCACAGGCGCCAACGTACCTAAAAAATGAAGGCTCTGCGCCAACATGGCCCCTAAAAATCTGGATTTTTACAGGAAGTCACATAAAGAAAGAAAAACCAATCTATTTGAATTGAAAAAACTCAGAATTTTCAGCACTGCAAGTGAAAGCTTGCTTTTTCTATTCTTCACGATTTCATTCTTAGTGCTTTTGTCTTCCCCAAGTTACAGGTACTTGCTAGTTCTGTTACAAAAACATTTTGCGTCTAACATTTCACTAAATGCGCCATAATGTATAGGCAAAAAGTCAATTTGGCCCCTAAAAAATCTTCAATGGCGCCTAAAAATCGGGCATGTGCGCCAAATGGCTCATAAAACTCAAAGGTGAGTTTCAAACACTGTTTCTGAGCATTGGTCGTCATTGGCTACTAGCTATCCTTGTTCGCCAATGGCATCAAAATACTGATGAAAGACATGGCGGCAACTGGGGCATAAACATAACCTCAAATAATTTTAACATGTGATAATGTGAAAGCTTATTTTCAGCTGTCAAACACAGCGCTACAAAAATAACGGTGATATCAGCAAAAATAACAGTGAAATTCGGGAAAAATAAAAGCAAAATTTTCCAATGTCTATTCATGATCAACGATCTCTGTTAGTTTCAGTCAGAATTTACAGTAAAAAAATAAGAGTTTTTTTGTGCAGAAATTGCTGCAGAACACACCTCCAAACAGTGGCACCGACACTTCTCTTTTCAGTTCTTCGGCACTTAAATCCCTAATCTTGAGGCCATTCAAATATTGGAACTGACAACAGAATGTAAATAAACTGAAACTCCACAAGTTTGCACAGCAACTTTTAACAAATTTTGTAAAAAAAACCATAGCCCGGCAACGAACCTGAAATCCAATCCTTGAGTTGCCAGTAGTGTTCCCTGTGTGAGCGTAGATGACTCTGCCTTGATCCACATCCTCCTGCGTGAAAGACGTCACAGAGACATTTGGAAACGAGATCTCTTCGATACGACCAACACTTTGCGGCTGATTGAACACACTGTAAACTAGGCTTGAAGGAGAAGTATCCGGATCGGAAGCTGACAGCAGATCTGCCGATAAGACTTTCCTTGTCCCCTGGAAACAAGGAAAGACCAGTTGATTAGTTGTACTACTACAGATACAGAGAATGATTGTTGAGAGAAAACTTTGTCGTGATGAGTTTTTGAAATGATAATTTCAAGAATTACAATTTATTCTGAATTCAAAATTTCCCGTGTTATTACAAGACTTCTTCAATTAAAAAAAAGAGGACAACAGGTATATTGCACTAAAACTATTGGGCTTCAGATTTTTTCCGATCTTTTCTGTAAATTAATATGAAATGCCAAAATCACCTTCAATTTTTGGGTTTTTTGCCTACTCAGATCTGTTGCACCTTGAGAGATGAGGCAAACGGAAGATTTTAAAGCAATTACAGCTAAAATGTATCTTCTTGCTTTTTTTCAATTCTTAGGGCAACAGACTATTTCTCAGTGTTTTCTATGGGTTTTTCCACCAAATTATAATTCTCAAGTTTTATACGTTGCTAAAAATGTTTTCAGTAAATGATTGATTTATTCCACGTACATCAAAATTTCAACTGAAACAATTCTTTCACAGGCAGACAGCATAATTTTATCGATAATGTTTCAAAATTAGGTTGAACACAACAGATAAATGTGCTGATGTTTAATAATTTTCCAAAAAAAAAAAAAAAAAAAAAAAAAAAAAAAAAATCTAAAAATTGACAAGGCATATCAAACTGATTTAAGATACCATTGATACAATTTAAAGAAACTTAAGGTAGCCTCTTGCCAGTAATTTGATCCTTACATTTGTAGTTTGCATATTGTTGTTCTTCTCCCTTAAGGAAAGAAAGGGCATTTTAAAGGAGTTACTTTCGAAACAAAAAAATTTTATTTGAAAGAAACTCTTCAAAAATTTATAAAGTATATTCTCTTGAAAAACAATTTTGCCAATATTTTTCTCTTTGTATCCATAACAACTAAATAGAAAATGGAAACGTCGAGCATTGTTATTTTGCCAATTTCAGAGAATAAAACTGCCCTATCTTAAAATACACAATTCAAAATTCAGTTAATTGATACTCACACATTAAGCGCTAGGCTCTAGTTCAGGTAAGCAGCGATATCAACCCATGCTGGTAAATTAAAAACATGCAAAAACAAAAATTAAATTGAAATGATTAATGTGGTAACAAATGAAACAGAACAAAAAAAAGGAAACTAGAACTGAGAAAATAAAAATCGGAGGGAGAAAGGGCCAAATTGAGAAAAAATTGCGCCGCTTTAAAAAAAAAACTGGCTTGGTCATAAAATAATACAAACAGATGATTCGCATTAGGATATTGAGCTTTCAGCATACATAAAATCTTGAAGTTCTCCTTCAGAGAAAGTAAAACAAGAATGAAAGACGGTAAAGGAGATATTAGTCAGAAGAAAAACTCAATTTAAAACTGAAAAGGTAAAAATTGTGCGACTGAGATGCATTCAACTGTCTATTTATTTTTGAAACATGAGAAAAATAAAAGAAAAAATAGGAAAATAGAAAATAGAAAAAAAAAATAGCAAAGAGGAAAGAAAACGAAACTAAAATCGGAGATATTAGGCAGCTTCATCTTCAATAAGCCACAAGACAAGGTAAGAAATTAAGCACCAAAGCACATGTTTCCTTGTTAATATTCTGTGCAGATGACGCTGAACATATCGAAAACTTTCGACAATAAAAAATAAACGCATATTGTTCACAATACAAACACTAATTTCAAAGTTCCAGCTCGCAAAAAAATCATGACCAAAGCAGTGGTTTCACTCAACTTCCTTCTTCTTCTGATACAAGGTGCTTATAATCTTTTTGTTAGAGGAAAGTTACTTTACACGGAAATTCCTCAGTCGTAAAGTAAACTGAAATAAGTGAAGTGTTTGATTTTATTGGAGTGTTCTAAAGTTTTTCACAGAGCGAAAAATTTAGGTTAACACAGACAAAAACTAATATTTTATAACTTATGAGTTGAATATGGAAAGTTTTCATGTGTCCATTGTATTCTGCATGAAATTTCAATGATGAAACATAAATTGTGGTTCTTAATTTCATACCCTGTCTAGCGATCCATTATAACTTAATTACTGTTCTCTGGTCCAGATTAGTGCTCTCGCAGCATTCGAGAGTCTTTAAAACTGTAGTAAACTTTTTGAAGATAAAAACTTCAAAATAAAAAACGTTTGACTTTGTCATAAAATGAAAAGAATAATAATAAAAACTTTAACTTGCAGGGTTGCCACATTGATTGAGAAAATGCATTTTCTAAAATAAAATTAGGAATCTTCCTTGGTAGTGCTTCCAACTCTTTTCGAACTTCATTTTAGCAGTTTATAAGAATTTGTCCAACATTTTTCAAGTGGTGGCACATGGATAGAAAAGACAAAATTCAGCGTTGAGCATATTCATTTTTCTAAAAATTCAGACCAGGGCTCACCATCATTGGTAAATCCTAATATTTATAAAGTTTCTGGGATTTTATTCTTAAAATTGAGGTTTTCTCCCTTCAACTGACAGCTGGAGACTCTGCTTGGAGACAGTATACACTGAAATAGATTTAATATTTAAGTTTTAGAAATGACTCGGTTCAAACAGAGCAACGTAAAAACAACACAGGAATTACTGATACAAGGCGCAGATGCCTCCATAAAAGTTTCCACGATTTTTAATAGATTTTTGCAAAAATCCTCGTTTCACCTCATGAAAATATTTTACGTTACTGTGGCAACCCTGAAAACAAATTTGTTGGCTAGCAATTGGAATTAAAACTTTGCAAAGTAATTAGACAACAAGAAAACATTGATTAGACATTATGTTCGAGAAAAATAAGGGTATTCACCAGGACGACTTTGAGCACTTTGCTGGAGGGAATGACCAACAGAGGAGGGTCATTGACGGCAGTGATGTTTATCAGGAGAGAAAATCTATGCCGGCCTTTCAAGTAATTCGGTAGAGTGAAACCAGCCCCTGGGGACAACTCGAGGTCAAAGGTGATACTATCTTGGTGGTTTTCTGATCCATCGTGAAGGTATCGGACCTATGAAAATAAATTGCATAGCATTTAGTAGAGAGAAATTTTCAAGGGGTATCATTGAAAAGACAAAGAAATATTGAGGTATAGACCGTATTTGATAATGGTTCGATGTATCGTTTGGTTCAAAACAATAGAACATAACCTCAAACCAAACTGTTAGGATTTAAGTTGGAAAAGCTGAAAATGAGAAAATTCCTTACAATTTTACTTTGCATTGGCATTTGGTACTCAAAAGAATAAAACATCTGTTACAAAAGACCTGTTCCCTCCAATTTCTAAATTAACTTTTGAGGCTACGTTTATGTTTTGAACCAATCTCACCTGTTTGATGTAGCGAATACGATCTATTAGGGTTTAAGTTCAATCTGTTACCCAACTGCTGAATAAATTGGTTCCACAGGTAGATTCAGAATTAGTGATGAATTTGGTAGAAGCCAGAGACTTCGAGAATCTGTGATTACACATAATACTTGTCCAATCGTCCTGAAAAATTTCCAACTGACACTCGTAGTTCACTCTGATGGGAAGAACAAAAAATTGAAGTAAAAGGGTTTCCTTATATTTTTTCGGGACTAACTACAATAGAAAAGCCAAATAAAGGGGAAAAATGAGATTACATTGTTCTTTAACACACTCTATCTAAATTATCACAACAGAGCGAGAAACTGCTGTATGCGGCAGTCCAGAGTTGGTCACACTACTCATTTAATCTTGTACCATCATTTCCATAAGGTATTCCAGATTCAATAAAAAGGCTCAAGATTCTCTCATTCCGCAAAAAATATAACGATCCTTTGGGCAAAAAATTTAAGAAAATCCGATCAATTATGTTTCATTACAATTCATCCAAAAAATAATCAAAAGATAATTAAATTAAGTCTCTCACAAGCTCGCTAATCACCTTGTACCATGCGCGAGCTTTCAGTCGCATAATCGGGCATATTCTACACCCCTGTATTGATGCACGGTTATATCAATTGTCAACGGCACCAAACTAAAGGAGTGATATCAGACTATTTCTAACAAGCAGGCTGATTACTGAAATCGATGGACAAGGCAATGGACAAAGAAGATAAACAGAAAGTGAGGCGATCCTATTGGTTGAAACACGTGGTTGTTAGAGACTAAGAAAGAAAATGATGACTTAACTACTCTTTTGTCCACTAAAACCACCCGCTGCCACCAATGGGATCGCCCAATTTTCTCTTTGTCCTCTTGTCCATTGCTTTGTCCATTAAGATCAATATTCAGCCTGCTGGGTTAAAGAGGACCACTTGAGCTAATCTGTTCATTTCAACGGGTTGAAATACTCAATAAACCCTAAAAAATACTCCACATAAACGTAGTACTCAACAAAAATATTGGCAATGAACGATTTAATAATTTCAGTGATTGAAAATTACCTTATCTTGCGACAGATCCAGCAGAGTAAAAACTTGGTTTGGATTGGACCCTCTTTCCCAAACCTCGAGAAATAGTCGACCATGTTGCGGGGGTTCGACTCGATAGAACAAGATGTTGGATTCGCGAACACCGTATTTCACACTATCCAACACCATGTTGATATGCGCAGGAGTTATGAGGGCATTCTCTCCTTCGGATACAAGCAGGGGCTCCAGAGTTAAAATTTCCAAGGCGACTGGAAGAGGCGTTTTCAGAAACATCTGGAAAAATAAAAAAAAGTAGGGACCATATAAGATGGAGCAATACACAGGGTTGCCACAGAATGTAGAAAATGATATTCTCTGAAATTTGCTTGATTTCCCTGATACATTTTGATGAAATTCTTTGACATTTGAAGAAATGCCAGATGGTTAAAAAGAAAGAATTTGAACAAGTTTTCACGCAGAATATGTTGTTCAATACGTCAAACCCATTCAAGAAAACGAATAAAGGTGACTTAACAAATTTTTCCCTGACACTTTCGTCATTTTCCCTGAATTACTAGGTTTCCCTAACTTTTAAAAAATTCCTTGACATTCTCAAAAACTCCCTGACTGTGGCAACCCTGCTCTGATTGGCCGATCGAGCACTTTCTACAACCCTGGAACAATAAGGAAATTGGTACAGAAGTGCAAGGACACATAATGTTTCGGAGTAATGTTTTTCATTTAACAAATAAGCCTGCTCTTCTCGAAAATCTCCCCTTTCCCAGCAAGTTTTCAAAGTTGTACCTTTGTTCTATTTCTGTATCTCTCTTATTTCACTGTACCTTTCTTCTATTTCTGTATCTCTCTTATTTCACTAACAAATTACTGAAATTTTACGAAAAACATTTTCTTTTCACAAGTGCATGATAAAAATGCTATTCAGAGCTGTATTGACCTCGCAAAGACCATATTCTCTTTCTCGCTTGATCTGACCCAGGAGACTTCTTGTTTTAGAAGAGTGATGATAATATTTTCTTGTCGTCTAGAATTTAAGAAACATATGATTGTAGTACCTTATCTCGGTTCACAAAGTCCGGCTTGGCGCAAGTCGATTGGTCACAGTCGCACTTGTAAGAATTGACTCCTTGATGTGAACAGGAGGCTTTGGTGAGGCAAGGATCTTGGGAGCAAGGGAATGACCAGACGCACTGAGGTATGATGCCCAGCGACGTCATCACATCGGCCACTCCTACGCGCCTACCATCTGTTTCCAAGTTCCTGACACAGCCTTTAAAACTGGCATCTGCTGTTTTCAGCCCTTGCCCGAGCGCTTTGGATCGTTTGTTCAGCTCGATTCCACCAAAGAAAAGCTGCACAACATAAAATCATGATTAGGAACCAAGAAGAGGCCAAATAAATGGGGGAATCGAAGTGTTTTCAAATGCAGGGAGCAAAATAAGCATACCATCGCGAACCGCTTGCCAAACAGTTTCAGGTGCTATTTCTTCATAAAATCAAAAAAATAGGTTTCCTGACTTGAAAATGAGGGGGGGAAGAAAACTTGAAAATTACTTGGAGGTATCCAAAAAAAACTGACTCTTCCGAATTTTCTAAGTGTGGGTGTATGTTGATCAGGAGAAAAAAGGAATGCTTCTGAAAACCCATTTGCTACAAAAATCATCAAGTACCTGCAAAACTTGAAAACTCTTAGAAAAAATTGCAATTTTATTCGAGCTCCAGAAGTGCTTAGGAATCCCTTCAAAACCACAAAAACCTTCCTGAGGAAACTTATACAACCAAGAAAAACTGCGGAAAGTCAGGACTGATTTCTTGCTGACCAAGCAATTTTACAGAATGAAATGAAAGCCTGCAAAAGTCAGCTAAATAGAAAACCTTCCCACTCCTGAAATCCGCCTCTCAGGTTCAAAATCCACCCCTCAGATCCTGGGAATTTTCCGGTTCTATATGTACCTTGCACATTTTTTTGACTATCAGATAACTTGACAGTGGCAATTTTACTGAGAAAATAAGAAAATCTAAGATGATTCAACTGGTATTTAACAGAATACTCACCATATCTGAGAGATCCAAGTACTTGTTGCCTGCATGAGCAGCAATTTTGGCAGTGGAAGGCATCTGACTGTCCACAGTGATCGATGCAACAGTAGGGTTCAAATTGATTGTGACAGTATGCCACTCTCCGTCGGCTACAACGTTGTCATTGGACAGCTCGATTGGGCCATTGCCTTGATCGAACAGCAAGTGAAGCCTCCGGTTGAGGATTTCCACGCCAATGAAGTCAGCGCGGCCTCCTGCCACTGGACCGGAGCTGTACAGGAGGACACCATGGTCCAAAACAGTCTTCAAGTCGAATTGCAACCTAGAAAAAAAGAGACAATGATATGAAGGCACAGGGTAGAGAATGATAAGAAAGGAGAAACTAACCCGGAAAAGAATTTCATTAGAGATTTTAAAAATAGACCGCCCGCTTTCGGCAGAAATTGCTGTCCATCCCCCATTCTTTCGTAAGTGCTCTAGATTTTCTTTCCCGCTGAAAAGGAAATTTTGAGATATAAGACATAACTTCATGCAGAAAAATTGGAAACTTACACGGTCTATGATCCGCATGTATACAGAGAAAATTGAAAAGAATATTTGGAATTGAGATGGGTTGTTTTTTAATCAGACGGTTTGATTTGTAAGGAAGAGGCTCCTCAGTTGGTTCGATGATATCCAAGTCAGCACGTTAACATCCACCCCTTAGAAGACTCTTGACAACACTAAGAGTAACTACAGAACCACAACTACTTTCATTTTGTAATTTCTGGTTTTCTCATTTCCATATTAGTGCAAGTAATAGAGTATAATTTTAAAAAAAAAAGCCATTACCACCCAAATAATGTGAAAACTGGCTTGGAAAAAGAGTTGAGGCTTGCATGAGAGCTGAATAGGTTCCACAGCTGATACCTGGGTTATATAATTGGAGTAGAATAGAATATTTCATTCCTTGAAAATTTTCCATGAAAAATTACAAAGAGGAGTTATGTACATAAAAACTTAATTCTCATTGACGATTCCGAATCCACATATTAAACTAACATTTGAGTCGAGCCCCTCCCCAAAGATCCAAGGGGTCATGAAAAAAAAATTTGACATACCTTACTCCAGTACGTAAAATTAAATTTGGTAACGATATGTAGGCACCATCTTCGATAAAGCTGATTTCACTATCATTTGGAGCGTCAAACTCAGGCGCGCAGCTCCACGTTACACCCTGGGCATCCGACTGACCCGACCGAGCACGAGCTCTCTTGAGTGCGTCCACTCCATTGTATGATATTTGTGACAGGCACCCTCGGAACCAGTCTAAGTGCCCCAAAAACAGTTCTGAGAAATCGCCCATACCACCCAGGAACAGTCCATAGTGAATGTTGAGCTCAAAAAATCGGCCTGGTAACTTCTCCCTGCAACAAACATTCAGTTTGTCACAATTTTGAAAAATAATGATAGCTGAGTGTCTACTAAAACAGGCCGGCCACGAATCAGTACTTTAACAGCACTTTTCCAGTACATTCCCAAGAAATTCAGTACCTTCTTGACAGAAAAATTCAGTACTTTTACAGTACCTCCAATCAACGAAATTCGAAAAATTTCAAAAATTTGAATTTCTCGCTCAAATTGCGACAAAAATGACAAAAAAAGATGAAAAAGATTCCGGACCTTCTTACGGAATTTCCCAACTTTTTCAGTACTTCCGGACCACGTATGACAAATCAGTACTATTTCCAGACTTTCTGGACACGTAGACACCCTGGATAGGTAAAACAAAAGATATTGGAGCTTCGGCAAGGTTCATGCATTTGTAATAGTAGAGAATAATTTAGCTGAAATTTAAAAACTAAATGTTGCTTGTACTTTGGTTAAAAATTCACTCTATTTGGCCTGGTTACACGATCAAATTCCTGTCAAATTCCGATCAAATGGTGACTGGTGCGCACCATCTATCATCAACTTTCTGCGGCCTGCAAAAATTTGATGGTAGATGATGGAGCTGTGGGGCTCATCCTTCATCTGATTTCCACACAACCGTGCTTATTTCACGCTTGTTTCAATCAACACGCTGTTTTAATTAATTTTACTGATCAATCTAGATAACTCTCGACCGCCATCTTGGTCATCATTTTCATCGGAATTTGACAGGAATTTGATCGTGTAACCAGGCCAATAAAGCTTCCTTCATATCCATGGATCGCAATGGATCAGATTCACTGCAGTTCGGCTTGAGGTTTTGGCTGAATGTAACTTCTCGTTGACCACCTCGGAAGAGCAATCAAAGCATTCCACTGGAATGCATGTAAGGGGCTGGACCACAACAGTGTACTGTGATAAAAAAGGAACGCACTTCAAGACCATTTTCTGTGTTTAAATAGAAAAAACCCTTAACTTCAGGGAAATAAGTCTCCATGGTTCATATAAGCTTAAAAAACGTTAGTTCACAAGTTTTCAAAGATAAATTTACAGGCAGCAAGCTTTTCCTTTCCCCCAAAATCTGGAGTTTTTGGGAGCTTTTTTTTGAACCTGGGTAGAAAAAATTGGACACTTTTATTCATTTGTCTAAAATTTCTCAAATATCTCGTCTGCTCAGTCAGATCGTTCAACCAAAGGAGCAAGCAGTGTCTTTTTTCATGTTGGTAAATTCAATAATGTTTCACGTCTGAGTAGATAACCATAAATTCTTCAAACTTTCAGGCTTCATTGATTTTTCTAAAAAATATTGAAGAATTTCTGTCTTCTCTTGTAATATGTTCATGGGGAAAAAATGTCTGGAAAAGGACTCAAGTGTTTTCAAATACTTTGAGGTATCTTCAGTAACGACACTGCATTTATAGAGGCCCAAAAATGATCTGATCAAGGGAAAATCGACTTCGGTAATTGATCGCATTCACTGTAAAGACACATGGTTCAATACTCGAGTGAGGTTGCATTGGCCACCCTGCATGCATAGTAGGAAGCAATAGAATATTTTTAAACCCGTCAGTCACTGCAGATCTCCTGAGTACAATTTTTCTAAGTGAAGAGAATTTGTCTAGTTATGAGAGGAATTCCCTTGCTTGGAGTGAAATACTTAAGTAGCTGTAACTGTGGAGAGAGAAAAATGGTTGCCTGTTGTCAATTGAATGGGATCAGACTATGGTGTATCCTGAAAATATTATCTGAGGCGTTCGGCGAAATCTGATTCAGATGAACAGAATTTAATGGAACTGTTACCAATTTGCAGTAAACAGGGTGGCCACAGAGTTTAGAAAATGAAATTCCCTGACTTTTCCCTGATACATTATGGTAAAATTCGTTGAAAATTGAACATATGCTAGATGGGTAAAAAGACATAAATTGGCGATAGTTTTCACACAATTAGTTGTTTGGAGCGTCAAGCCCATTGTAGAGAGCAAATATGGGTGACTCAACAAGTTTTCTCTAACACCTGTGTCATTTTTCCTGACACATTCAAGTTCTCTCTATCCAACCCTGAATTTAGGACCCCGGAATCTTCCAATAATACAGGACTTACTTGGTAACATGGATTTTATCGATTGTCAGTGTGATGTCAGCCTCCCTCCTTGAAACTGTGACATGATGCCACAACAGATCATTCAAGCGCAACCCTTTCGGTGAAGAGATTTCAGATTCACCAGCGCCCAAATTGATTCGAACCTGAAAAAGCCGGTAAGTTTGTTACAATTAAAACAAAATCATACCGCTGTTTTTTCGGAGAGTAACACAGGGTCTGAAGGAGGACGATAAAACACTTTTATTTTAATGTCCTACGAGGAGCAAAATAAAGCCCCCACAATACTTGTTCCCAGCAGACACATTAAACTTAAGTTTCCATGTTTATTATCCAAATGAATTAGCTTTTATTTGGGATTCTCTGTTCAAATTAGACAGGAATACAGAGATTTCCAATTCTTCCTTCAAATAAACTAAGCTTCTTCATTTTAAACCAAAATGAAGATTACTGTCACACAGCTGACAGTTGCTCCATGTAACTAACGTTCAACAAAAAAAAAAAAAACAACTTATTGGCTATGAATTTAGGAGAATAGGACTTCAAGTGTAGAGCGTAGATGATATTTTTGGACCATCTTGTACAGTCTTTATGAATAGAGAAAAATGAAAACATGGTGAGTAAGCATAAAATAGACAAAGTTAGGAGCAAATTGCATGCACAGCTCAAACTGAATGTTTGGGAAGTTAATCTAACTGGATGAAAAAACAATGAAGTGTAGAAACGGTGCGCACCTTCAGTTTTCCGGACTCAAGAATGATTAGACAGTAATCAGTTCTACCCGCAGCTAGGAAAAGCAGAGCATCAGAACGTTTCGTCCTAAACTTGAGGGATAGTTCTGTTGTACTTTTTGCTTCTTGCAAAGGAACAGAGACATAGCTAGCACCATAAAATGAAGCTGAAACAAAATTTGAGGAAACACAGGTAATTCATATATTCCTTGGAAATCATTGATTTCGGCGTACTCAATTAGTCTTACTAACAGAAGAACTAAAATCTTCAAGAGTAAAGCACTACATAATACTAACTGACACAGCACTGAGAATCTCACTTGTTTCAACAGCGTGCCAAAAATTGAAATGTCTACCAGCACAACAAGACAACAAGATATAATATCCTGCATGGTTGGGTTAGAACTTGGTCTTGTAATGTCAACTAAATTCCATGTTCCAGCCCAAAAAGTGATGTTCAAACTTGGGTTTAAACATTGGGAACAAATATTGAGAAAACTTGAGCAGAGAGTAGCATTGGAGAAGGTGACAAGCTGAAGATACATTTACACAGCATGCTGAGCTGCTTGTCAGACCACCTGACATCGAGTAGAGTTGTCGATACTTAACGGACACTTCCGAAGTATCGATACTTGGCATTGATACTCATTGATCCTCAGACACCAATATCGATGAAAACGATACTTAGTCTGATTCAGCCGAGGAATGCCTCTCTTTCTTTTGAAACAACTTCTCTCTCTTCTGTTTCACCTTCACGATGCACTGTGACAAACGACGGAGTTATCAGGTTTCTCAAGATGATTACTTTCGTTAAAAGTGTTAAAAGCTCAAATCAATAACAGTAGTAAAGGGCTCATATTAGTTGACTAAGCACGTACATGGGGGCAGTTTTGAGAGAAGCGTAAATCTGGTGGAATTAATAGGCCGACAGACTTACGCACACTCCAAATGCAGCAAAGCTTAGAAATATTATCTGAGTATACCTCGAAAGTATCAATACTTCAGCTCAATGTTCTGTACCGGTATCCATGCTTAGTGTTGACACCAGTACCGATACTTCCCCGAGTATTGACATCCCGAACTGACAGCCGCTGTAGACCATTCAACAAACCCTCCATCAAAGCGCTCTCTATCCTCACTGTGGAACACCGACCACCAGTGCTCCCAGATCTCCGGCATTTTCGAAAAATCTTCGGCAAAATTTTTTTTTCCAGAATCTCCAGCATTCTATCATAAATCTCCAGGATATTCATGAAGTTTCCAGCATTTTGATAAAAAACTCCGGCTATTTTGTCAATTGGAGCTAATCTGCAGATTGTTTACCCCGTGACGTAGGTCGGTGCAACATGGCGTCGATATTCCAGCAAAATCCGGAATTCATAATACTAGAAACAGACCATAACGTCCAATTTTTTCTGCTTGAATGAACTCTTGAAATAAATTCAAACACTTCACATGGACAGACTTTCTCCATAAATTATACCATTTCCACGAAAATCAATGATAAAAATCGTCTGTAACGACCTACGTCATCGAAGGAATAAGATGTCCGAAATACAAACACCTCCTTTTTTAATCTCTATACCAACATTTGATCCGTTACACTATCAATAGGTTATTACGATTAGATGCGATGCAATCAGCAAACACATCTATTTTCAGTAGTATTTCTCAAAAACAAGGTGTTTTATAGAATCTCTGGCGTTTTCAAAAAGTTTCTGGCATTTCCGTAAAAAACTCCGGCTGTATTTCAAAGGGTCTCCGGCATTTCATCTGGGAACACTGCCGACCACCTTTGATGGAGGGCTCACTGAGCTGTGGCCTGACAAGCAGCTCAGCATGCTTTGTGGGCTTGTCTTGGGGAATTATCACAGATCTAGGGAAAACGTCGACAACTAGCACTAAATCAGCATCCCTCGATGTGCATGTTAAGATGAGGCTTCGTGAGAATACAGCTCATATCTGACAATGATCATGTCACAAAGTCAGTATTCACAGTTTGAGTATCAAACCAGGAAGCAGCTCAGTAGATAAATCTGCATGGATTAAATTTTGCTCAAAGCAGGTAGACGGAGGTACCATCTCGAGTTCAGAGCAACAATCAGTAAATGAAGTCTGCCATGCACATGCTTCTTGTCCTAGATACTGGCAGAATGGTATTACCTATGATGAAACTGAGAGGAAATCGAAAGCTAGACATTACAAGTATCAAAGACACAGTCATGACAGGTGAATTCTGAAAAATAGGCACAGTTAGTTGCATACCTGTTTCAGCACTACAGCAGAAGTTCAGGTAAAAAGAGATGAAATGCAGGCAAATTAGGGACGCCGATGACTTCATGATATCACAAGTAGGCGAAGACGTTAAAAGTTCTGCGGAAATTCAAGGCTTTCGGCGTCCTCTTATCATCTCGAGACATGATGGCTCACATGGGAAAGAGAACCTAGAAAAATTGAGGAGGCCACTTCAGAAACGATGATAACGAAGTGCGAATCCTTCCACAGAAAATCAATCGAAAATAGTTGTGCATTTTACCAGAGTTCGAAGAGATTGGGACGTACTTTCTGTTGATTGATCAAGCGGCAAGGAGAGGTGGAGGTGGAAAGCGGAAATCGACAATCAAATGCACTTGCACTTTTCCGAACTTTCCTTCCGGAAAACAAAATGGAGGGCACAGGGCACGGAGGGAAGGAAGACAAAGCTGAAAGCACTTCTGGCGGGAAAAAGGGGGACTCGCTCACACACACTCACGCAGACTCACTGACATGTTAATTCTTGAACGCTGCGTTGTCAGATTTTACGATTCACAAGATCAGAAAGTACAAAATCAATTTTGAAATGCCTCGCTTCAATAAGTCACAACCCGCCCTTAAAATTTGAAAAAACCTTGCGTCTTCGTCTCTTCCCCTAGTAGCAGAACCGTAGAAGGAAAAGATAAAGATTATGTACGAAATTTACTTTTTTTTAAATATAACGCATGCATACGAAAGTGTTAAAAGCGAACATTTTAATGTAACCATAATATAAAAAAAAGTCATAATTTTCGTGAGCTTTTCGCAAACGTACTAAAAAATCTTCTAATTCGCGAAAAGCTCACGAAAATGATGACCTTTTTTCATATAATTGTTACATAAAAATGTTCACTTTTAAAACTTTCGTATGCATGCGTTATATAAAAAAATAAAAAAATTGTGTATAAAAAAAATTACCTTATCTAGCTTCTATCATTTTTCATATATTATGGCCAGGCCTGAACTTCGATTTTTTTTTATATATAATCGTTACACGTTTTTTATGTAAAACTACCATTTAGATAACAGATATGTCTTTCTTATACTTTTTTTAGAGAAACAAAAATTTGTTCTGCTATGGGGTCGAATAATGAAACCAGCGATGTTCAGTTAAATTGAAATTTGTTGTAAGAAAATCCATTGGGCAATACTGCACTTCACCTCAAGATGATGCGAGATACTTCCTTTCAGGTCTTTTCCCCTTGCTTTACGAAACCGCAGCCGACTCGCTATTCTCCATCTTCAGGAAGATCCTTATCGCTTTCGAACACTTGGGTCACGACGATTCGAAACCGTCTTCCCGAGGAGGGAGGGAGTGACGAAGTCTTCACTCCCTCGTAATCTATTCCGGTGATTCGAAGGATGACATATCTCTCGCGTCTTTCTTAATTTAGCATCAAAACAAGCAGTCATAGCGGTCGGACAAATATTATTTCCGGCCGCTTCGCGTCACCCCGAGAAGGCAGATGGGCGATTCCTTGCATTTATCTTGCCATCGTATTTAATTTTAACTCGGAGCATTCGAGCCACGGGGGAGCGATAAAGTGAGAGCGAAGGGGTCGAAAAGTTATACTTACTATTTCACGTGAGAGCTGGAGACTTGCGGTATCCACGCTTTCCGGCCGGGATTCTGATGACGCTAACTGCCGGTGAGAGAATATAGTGCCGCATGCCGTTACAAGCAAGAGTGTTTGCGTTTGCGAACTCTTCGTACTTCGATAGATACTTGAATCGACGGAACTACAGGGGCTGGAGAGTGGGAGAATGACATATAGAAAAAAAAGGACGTGTTTAGGTACCTACGTGGGAAAAGTTGGAAAAGTCAGCTTGTCATTTTGCGAATGCAGTAAAGTAGTTTGTACCCATGTACGACGGTTGGTATCTTCTGAGATTGAAGGGGATTGTTCAACGGCTCAAGTAAATTTTGCATTGTCATACTTCGCGTCATTGCCTCACTGCTGCGAGCTGCGACTATACAGCTAATTTATGCTCGTAAAATAGAACACAGATCTTTATGAAAGGGGAAAAAATGTGGCCTGAGCTGAAAATTACAAGGAGGTAGATTGGTGCTAGGCCCACAGTTTCTTTAAAGACTAGAGCTTAACCTTTTTGACTATAATAGAAATGTTTGAACTTTTAGGCTTTGCTTTCCCTGCAAAAAAGAATGGACCCACCACTATTGGACGTATTTCTATCAAACGGAACTATGTACATTAAGACATGAGCCCTGAGACCCATAAGAATAGGGGCATAACAGGGCTCACATCATTATGCACATAGTTACTTTTGATAGAAATACGTCCTATTATACCCCCTTGTCTTCTTAAAAGTTGAAGACCTATTTCTCCTCGTCAAAGAAATAAATAAGGGTTGATTATTGACAATTTCTTTTAAAAATTAAGAAACAGTGACACAATCTTAGCGACACTGGATATGAAAAGAGCCTTTTTTTCTATCCCTATCTTCATTACATTCAAGTTTACCTAGTAGGTAGGTTTAACGTTAAAGGAATTTATGAAACAATACACAAGTGACAAGAATTTTCTCCAGCACACTGAGAAGTAGCCTGAATTGAACAGAATGGACACAATTAACAATTCGGAAAACAAAATAAGTTGCAGGGAATTTTGAGCTTAACCAGCCACACAAGTTCTTGAACAAAAAAATATTTTAAATGAGAAAATAGATGCTGCGCTTTACCTCTGAAATTGAGTCTTACAGAGGAATAACACTTCAAACCTATTTCTCCTCTATTTGATCCTGATCTGACACAGTTATTGAATGCTTTTAAACTCAGACCAAGTTATTACGATAAGTAGGCATTCAAGTTTAGCCATTCAAGTTTACAAATTGAAAAGGCTACAGATGAATAAAAAGCAAGACTTTAGGGTTGTATAAAAAATTTTATTATTAATTATACAATTTGAAATCTATTGAAAAATCATTGAAATCAGTTTAATGGAACAATAAACTGATTATCTGTTCTTTTTACCAAACAACGAATCACCGAAATGTGGTTCTTACATCATGACACAAAAATTCATCCCAGCCAAACATCGAAGTGAAGAGATAGAGAAACAGTCATGTCCCTCTTACCTAACTTTTAACTAAACTAGTGAACTTAAAGCAGATATTCCAAATTTATTTTAAAGATGGAAGCAAGAGGAATCAGTGGTCAACTCAACGATTGGGGTGTAAATTAAAATATTGACTCTTTAATTATGGTTTATTGGTTACACCGGAAAGAACACTGATTAAATCAATATTTTGAGAGGAAGCATACATTCATTACTAAATATTAACCAAAAGTTTTCAAAAACTAGCTGAAGGGACAGATATCCTCTAAAATTTCAGTGATTTTCTTCAAGCGATTGGTGAGAATCACAAAAATCTGTCTCATGAGTCACAATAATTGTCAGTGGCAATTTCAAAATAAAGCAATGGACTACATAACTCTTCTGCAAGACGTCGATTTTATTGCATGAGCCGAAAGAAAAATGAAGTCACCAGATAGCAGAAGAAACAAGAAAGAGGGAGAGAAGTCGGACAGTATACCGGGATAACTTGTGAAATGAAATGAAGTCAATATCACATTCAGAAAAAAAGTAACAAACGAAATAACTCCAGATGACTGATCCAACTTCACTGAGTCATCTTAAGGACTAAGTATACAAGGATAAAAACACAGGACTTGAGGTTACCTATGAGTTTATCAAAACAGATAATATCTTCCACGACCATAAAAAACCTTTTGATATTGTTTTGTTCTTTTTTTAAAGATATAAAAACTAAAAAGCAGGGGGATTGAACAAGAATACTTGTATTAAAACTAACAATTTGATGATGTCACAGAGCGAGAGACGAGAGTAAAATGTTTGCTGGGCATTGCAGAAACAGCATGAACAACCTTACAGTTGCGGAGTCACTAACATTGGCAAGAAGTAAAAGAATACTAATTGCTCACGGTGATGAGCACAACCATCTACTTGATAAAAACCAGCCTGGGTAAATAATGATAGCTAGGAAATTCCTCTTTTCAGATATCAGGAGTTGTAGAGAAAACTATAAAAACAATGCATGCTACAGAGCATACAGCATCAAAGTGTTGAAGAGGTTGTAAAGAAAATAAACTAAAAATCTAATCTAATGTTTACATAAAAAAGGTGGGAGCCGATGAGCCAAAAAATTCATGAGCTCCAGAAATACATTTTAAAAAAATTGGCGAAATCAAAAGGAATTTAGATTGCAGTGCTCTGTTGAATTTCATACTAGAGCAATTAAATGTTGAATGATTGACGAGGATAGACAATTAATATTTCCTGGCTTTCAAAACCAAATTGGACACATAATGGCTAAAAAATCTTTGATGCAGATTGGGGAGGAGGAGAAAGAACATCATCAAGAATCTAGCGGAAAAGATGAATTTTAAGAATTTTATAAACCTTCAGTAGAGGAATTCCATGGATGTTGATTGTTTCACCTTTAATTTTAGATATGGCTAGCTTCTGTGCCATCAAGTGAGTCATTTCAAAAATTCAGAGGTTTCCGTAGGGACAAAATGGCCGGTTTTGCAAACTTAAGTAAAAATGTTAAAAAAAAGAAACTACTTTTAAATCAAACAAAACTGTGGAGAATCGGAGAGGTTGTCAACTTGGGTGCTAACGTGAGTACGAGCGAGATCTCGAGTGTCGTCGACGCCTGTCGTAATATGGAGAACGGGATCGTCTGCCTCCACCATAGCCGCCGCCGCCACCGCCATAGCGTCTTCCACCTCCGTTGTAGTAACTGCAAAGCAACCGAAATCAGATTACTTGCGGAGAGCCGTTTCACGTTTTGCCCATCACATGAGAAATTTGACTTCAGAAAAAGGTTATCACACATCCTACACAAGGAGCCTCAATGATGGAATTCCTATAAAGCTCTACAATGGACCCCTGGACAAGGTGGAAATGTAAGCATTCTTAAAGTTTCCTGACAAAAGTTTAACGTAGAAAACGATTCCTACGACGAAAATAATTGAAATCGACTCTTAACTAAGATATTGGCGTTTTTATTTAGAATTGGTTTTACATTTGGAATTCCCTGCTTCCAAGAAAGAAATAGGCTACTTGAATCAAAACTCGCACTACAATGGTTGTGGCAGGCTTCTCAATCAAGGGATGTTTTTTCCTTGCCTTGTGCTGCTCAAAATGGTGACAACATGCGGGCAACAGCTGAGCAGAGGCACTGAGAAATAAGTTTCCATACTTTCATACCGCAGCAATCGTTATGGGAGTACTTAGCGAGCGATTTGACTCAAGGAGACTTTTGTTTTTTTATGAACGGGAGGTTTGAATTTACACATCTAAAAACGTTAAGTATTTCAGTTAAGAGTTACTGTCAGTATCTTCTGTTGCACGAATTGAGTCCTAAGCAAAAATTTGATGAAAACGTGTCAGAGTGCTTGAATGCACACTTTGTCCAATGGTCCATTTACATTGTAACCAATTGATTCAACATAAAATTTTACAAGAAACACAGCACTGCCTTTGATTTAATTCAAAATCTACTTTCACGCTCACTAGAAGCTCATGGTTGAATTGAATGTGAGTAATATTAGAAATGAATAAAGTTGATTAAAATGTTTTTTTCTAATAACTTTTTGTCTAAACTCCAGCTAGGCTCAACATTTCTGATAGCGCTGTGCGAATAGTGAACTTTTCAAACAAGGCGAATAGCAAATAAATTAAGTGAATTATTCACAACTACGAATAATTTAAGTTAACTATTCACAACTACAAATAGTAATACGAATAATTTAAAATGACTTTTAAAGTGCGAAAATTAGCAAATATTACAAAAACCGACAAATAAGTGTGATAAATTGTTGAAAAATTTTCTATTCCCTCATACACCTGTACAGAAAACAATGAAACGCTATGGTAGCAGCCTAGGCTGTTAAGAATGTGCTTGAAAATCCCTGGATGCTGGCTTGACTGTCCCTGCAGTTATTTATGCAATCCCAGGACTTAAAATTAAGTGCGCGGGCAGTCAAGCTAACATCTAAGGATCACCAGACACATTTTTAGTATTATATTTTTTTTGGTGCAGATGAAAATGTGTTTATGAACATTTATGAAGGCGCGAATAATCGAAAATTTGTTATTCGCGACAGTCGAATAGTTCATGAGTCAGCCGAGGCGACTATACGCGATTTCCAGATAATGCACAGCCCTAATTTCTAAGCGTTTCTAGGGTCAAAGTGTTCATCAAACACTTCTTCGTGCGTTGGTCCCAATATTTCAGTTACGAGTTTTTGGTGTTGAAGTCCCTTTTCTTGTACACAATCAAATAAACAAAACACGATGCAGTTACAGAAGAGGACTTTTCATAGTTCAACAATTAGTAGCAACTGCGACCTCAACTTTGAGAGCTTCTCATCAGCTTAGGAAAGGAGTAAAAAAATATGACCAATGGCACTATCTGATTTTTTGTAAAATGTTATGAAAAATTACTGGAATAAATCCCAAATTCCAAGACATCACCATTTCCTTGAAAAGCCTTTTTTATGCATAGAGCCATTTTGTCCATTTTGAGGCTCCATGTGCTCCACTTATTTGAAGAGTTAAAAAGTTCAAATTGGACAAAATCAATGACTACTTTAACATTATTAGAACATTAAAGTTCCAGGGAAGTTGATAGGAATAAACCCCACAAAAAATATAACATTATTGACTAAATAAGACGGTCACAAACTAAAAGATATCGCACATTTCAGAAGCTCCTCAGAGAAACAAATTTATCATTTTGCTACACTGAAACTTCCGAGAGGACCAATGTAGTCATATTTCATCAGTATTTTATGCTGATTTAAAGCCACTGTCACTTCTACTAAACTAATGACGATGACTTTTCTGTAGCCACTGATACTTAAAAGTAAAATTAAAATAAATAGAACGACTGAGCGAGACAGTCAAAAGCAATGCATCTATTGCAGGCAAGAGAAACAGCCAAATAAATATACTTTCTGCGGGTAAAATTGCATTAAAATAATGTTGGGTACTCAAAAGTTTGAAATCTTTTCCTGAGCGTGCAATCTGCTTAGTTTGTAACACGCTTTTTCAAGTTTCCAGCATCTGCAGGCAGTTTTTCTTTGTGGCCGGCAGTCAGGTTTGCACAGGCAGAGGAGTGAGAAAAACTAATCTGAGTAAACAGACGATTTCACGAACTTTTTCTTTTGTATGATTTCAATTTTGCAAAAACAAAAGCTTTGAATCAATTGAAATTTTATACATGGAGAGGTTACAACAGTTCGTGAGATTGTTTGTTTTTTATGGGTTAGGTCTCTCTCCGGGCAAACCTGGATGCAGGCCATCTGGAAAACTGCTCGCATACGTGGTAGTTTCGAAAGAGTGTGTTACAAACTACTCAGATAGTCCGCTAAGGAGTGGATTTTGGACTTTTCTGATGTGCTCAACATTATTTTCGTCTGAGTTTACCCTAAGACAACATATTCAGTTGGCATGCAACAGACCCAATCCTTCCAATTTGATTAGGTCATGGAGACCATATTTTTAGTTTCAACACAGAGACACCTGACTTCCTCCCCATATGACACTAGACCATATTCCCTATCTCCTGTAACGCAAGTCATAAGGTAACAACATCCCATTTGCCGAATTATAAGTCCTATTATGATGCGAGCCTTTGCCAGTGTCTCAAAAAATTACAAAAATGTCAGGTAAAGATGACATCTACTACAGATTTGGGAGTAGGTTGGATGCTGATGCAATGGTACTGATTTCAGTTAAGGTTCCTCTATATGATACTTTAATTGTTTAACCATCAAGTTAAAGTCACCCTCTCAATAAAAAGCGCCCTTTTACGATCAGGGACATTCACAAGGAGCTGAAAAAAAGTACTCGTGTAAAAACATTACCTTTGGCTTTTCTTTCTTTCATTTATAACTTCATGACTTGGGTTATTTTAGCACTTCTATTAGGGCAACAGCCGGTTTTGAATTCTTAGAGACGAGACGAAACAACAAAGAGTTTGAAACACGCAAGTTAACTGAAACCTTCATCCCGGTAAATAACTCAACCGCTGAGCTTTGATTTTCCCCATGTCCAACAAGGCGTGCTTGACATGCACTTTAAACTTGAGGAGCCGCAAGGGAGCTTCATAAAGCTCCAAGAATTTCAACTTCTAAATACTTCTAAATCTTCAAAAATTTCAATAAATAAGTAACTGTTGTGAGACTTTAAGCCGAAACATCCTGCAAAAAAGTTCAATGTATTCAGAAAAAGTTTCCGACTCAAAATCTTTAGGTGTATTCAATCACAAAAATAAAAACATTCAGTGGATGGAATAGATATAGCATGATGCATCATATTGAACTATCTGCTGTGTCTGAGCTTCTCTCAGTTCAAATAGATTTGTCTGAATATTAATAGGATTTCATCAAGCTCTGTCGAATGAATAACCAGGCTTTAGAGGATGCTGAATAATGAACAGTGAATGGGGGATTGGTAAATGGCATCATAATTAATGATACTACCTCCAATCACCATGGTTAAGATCATAGCAAAGCCATTTCAATTCATCCAGTTTTTTGACCGAATTACCATCACCACTTACAAAATATCAACCGATAGATCAAAATTTTGCAACAGAAAAAACATGCATTCGGTCCCCGAAGATGTCGAATTAACAATGTTAAAAATTTAAGAGGGATCATAAAATGATGCATGAGGGTGAGGCAATGGTACCAATACCTGGAGGAGGAACTAAAACAGGCGACTTCTGACGAAAGGCTGGGTCTTTGTTTTAATAATGTTCCTTACATGATTAGAAGTTTTTGGGACCGAGATCGAAGAGTTTTGATGAATAGAATGAAAGGATTTCAAAAACAATTTTGGGACCTCCGGAAACTTTTTGAGGACTTTAAAACGGTTGGTAGAGGACAGAAACAGGGTGATTAGGTATCTAGGATTTTGAAAGTCTTGAGCCTCCAAGATTTCTGAATAAAAAATTTCTTGTGTGGACATGGAAACATTTTATGTCAAAATAATTTTTGGCGCCAAGTTCTTTTCAATGAAATTGTGCAAAATATACGAACGTAGAGACAGAAAGTGCTATTCATTAATGTAAGTATGATCAACGGATGAAAGATTTTAAAGAGAGAGTAATCTCATATTCTCTGATCTTTTAATTGGCTTGTGTTCCTAATAGGAATAATTTAAATTCTGAATGTATGGCACAACAATTTTTTTTACAGTTCAAACATGAGGTTTTCTGGCTTTTGATTGCATCATAAAATTCAATTAAAGCCTTACCTAGGTCAAGAAGTGACTTCAAAATAACTATTAACCATGAATAATTTTAATAAAGATAGTATTAAACAGCCACCAACATTGAGATTAAGAATAAGTGCATAGAGTCAAACTTTAGCAGGGCTTGCTCTTTTGCCCCAGAAAATCAGAAAATTAAGTGTGCTGTGCTGGAAATCAAATAATGTTACTCACCAATTTCATGTTAGAGAGTAAAATTCACAAAAGAGAAACCATAAAATTACTTACCCATCATTGAAACCCCTTCTGCGACCAGAGCTGCGGCTGAAAGAAAATTAAAAGCATGTTAATACTGTGAGAAAAAGAATTTGATAGATGCATGATAAATAAAAGCAAATATATGAGCAGAAAAATCTGAATATTTAGCCAGCGCCAAATTTCTTTGTCTTCCGTGCAGGGTCCTTTGTGAGTAGAATAAAGCAGTTTTGAGAGAAATGAATTTTGGGGGGATTTTATCTGTCGAACTCAGGCATAATAATGTTGGATTAAACTGCAACATTTTTTACACCCTTTACAGCTATAAAAATAAACTTGACTGCTCCTAACTTATTTTTAGGGTATTAGAGTAAGTTTGAGATCAATAATTCAATTTCAAATTTTCCAATCCAAGTTGCGAATAATTGCTTTCCCCTAAAATTTTTGACCATGCAATAGGGTCTTTTATCCCTTGAACAGTCGCATTTTGATGGAAAAATATAGAGTTTAAGGATGCCGGAAACCCTACTTCACTTTATTGCCAAGACAGTTGTTGATTTTGAAAATATGAGTTGAGCGAATCTTAAAAAGATGTATCATTTTAATATGGGACACTGATTGAAAAAAAACTGAGTAGAAAAAAACTTACTATGATGGCTTGCCCATGTACATTCCGGGCGTGGGTGTATGAGCCCGTTCGGTGATCGAAAAATCTACACGAATACGACGTCCGTCAACATCCATATCAGAGCACTCCTCTTTTGCGGCTTTTGCATCCTCATAGTTTTTAAAATACACAAAACAGAAACCACGTGAGCGCCGAGTCTAGATGGAATAAAAAGAGTCAATCAACAAAAAAACTACGAAGAAAAGTGAAAGGAGGAGTATCGATAAGGGCTGTTTTTGGGCCCACCCTGAATTTCCTCGACTCAATAAGTTTTTGCTCATGGAAGGTCTATATTTTATAAAATGCACTATGATTTGGTCATTTTAGGTCCATTCATCGTTCTGATACTGGCCTTAACTTAGGTCTGAGGGCCGATTTTGGCAACAAATGCAGGTCTAGCAAGTTTGCGGTCGAATGCTGAAAAATATGCTTTTTTCGCCAAAATTTGCTGTCAGACCCATGTTTAGGCCAGTGTTAGGCCTAAAGAGAGACCAAAAATGACTAAATTATGATACATCTCACAATATATAGACCCTCAAGGAGTAAAACATTGTGAAGTTACCATATTTGGTCCTTATAAATTAAATTTCAATACATTTCGCTGCACAGCACAGAATCCCTGAAAATTAGAAAATATTTTGTTGTGCCTAGTGATAACATCAAAGTATGCACGAAATGGCTATCAAACCGTAAGTGGCCATTGTAAAATTCAACCTAAAAAGAGTTATTATTAACTCAATCACTGCGTCTGAAGACCTCAAGAGAAAAAAAAAATATCTGACTGAAAAGTTTTCAGAGATCAAAATGGAAAAAATTAGTTAAAATTCTTAAATAACGATATGCTGACTTGCATAAGATTAAATGCAATTGTCATTGTTAATTTGAAAACTGACCTTCAGAGTGAGTTCCAGTTTTTTTTTTCGAAGTTATAATTTTTTAAAATCAATCTTCCAAATTGCGAAGGAAAAGTTAAAAATTATGTTTCCCAGGAAAAGTTCTAACACTTTCCGGTTATTGTTGATATGCACATGGCAAGTTTTTCCTTGATTTTGCTAAATTGTGTAGGTTTTTCAGCCTTACAGGGCATCTGGATGACTTTGATACCTTCTAATACTAGGTTCTTTCAACACCAATTCTAAAAACTTCAGACACAACCTGAAATTGGAGGTTTTATTTTCCTCCCTTCATTTTTTTGGCTCAAATTTAAAATTCCACGTTCAACGGAGCCTAATGAACAAGCAATTAACAAAAAATTAATAAACTATCACAGGGTAATAACTGTTGAGTAAATCTGGGTGCGTTGTTCTGTTTTGCTTGTTGCTTTTGTACAAACTTTCTTATGTCTAGTTATTGGGGTTTCTCCCATTCATACTGAAATAAAAAATAAATAAATATGCAGCAGATCAGGGTGCGCAAAGAAAGATAGAATTAGCTAACCTGAGCATCCACAATGACCTGGACACGCTCAAGGGAGCCATACTTTGAGAAAATATCATAAATTTGATCTTCAGTAGTATGGATACTCAAACCAAACACACCAAGGCACCGGTTAGGTTTTGGACGATCCTGTAACAAAAAAGAGTCAATAATGAAATACACGGAAGGAGTTATAGATAAATGAAAGAGAAAAAAATAAATGTTCAGAGTAATTTTGGACTGGTTTGTCTTCTTTAACCGATAAAACACAACTGAAATAGGCCAGTTCAAGTACTGATTGATCACTATTCTGGGTTACTTCTTTGGTCTCAGTAAATCCCTGCATGAAGTCTAGACTTTTCTCTCTGAAAATGAGACATGATTACATGCTAGAAACAAAATATAAACAATCAAATTATGACAAAGGGAAACGTATCAACAATTAAATACCTATCAATATACCTCCATTTGTCTCTGCATTAAAGAAGCGACATTTTTTAACTAGATCGTTGGATAATTTAGTGCAGTGAAGAAATCAATTTATCCTTTTCTTAAGATTTCCTCTTAATCCTAATTTAAAACAGTATTTTTGCAGGAGATACTTGTTTCATCATCCCTCAAAACTATCTAATTTCATCTTAGTGAGACAAGAGAAAGCTCCTTGAAAGATTTAAATAAAAAAAAAAAGAGCCATTATGAAAAGACCAGAAAAATTTAGACTCACTCTGCTTCCCATGTAACGTCTTTTGTAACCGCGGTCTGGACTCTGCAAAATTTAATAGCAGGATTAATAAAAGAAGAGAAAATTTTTATTATTTAAAAATAATCTTCTGCTCTTTTCTTTCCAACTCCTAACTTGATTTGCAATTTCCAAACTGTCGATACATACTATCCATCTATAAAAAAATCCCATTATTATCATTGTCTGCTTTAATTTCTTACGCTAGATGACTTAAAGAGCAACGACTGATGTAGTACACATTTTTATTCATTCAGCAAAGCAGTTTCTTTGGTTTCATCAGGTTTACCTTCAGTTTTCTGACTATATCTATATCTCTTATCTGTATGTATAGTTCAGGGCCAAAGAAACTTAAGTATCAATTTTTGATGAATCTAGTGCGTTTAATATGAATTGTGTTATTGATACAAAAGTACCTACTCAGTCATTGATACAAGAGTATCTACTTAAGAGTGTTTCATGAACATTTTAAGGTATATAATGCCTAAAATGTCAAAGCTACCAAATGAAATGGTGATAAGAAATTCAATCCTGAAACCGTAGTTCTGAGAAAAAGCTGTTTAAACTTATCATTAGTCATCTTCAGAGCATATAGGCACCAAATGGGTCCGTTGCACGCAAAAGATACAGCCAACTAAATACACTTCCTAAGGGGAAATTCGCTAGTATATCTTGTTAGGCACATCAAAAAAGTCTGAAATCCGCTCCTCTGCGCAATCTGCATAGTAGGGAAATTTAAAATTTACCGCTTTTTCAAATTTACCGCGTGCACGGGAATCCGGTAGTTAGGTTTGCCTAGAGAGAGGCCTAACCTAAATAATCAAACAATCTTGGAGACTGTTTTTAACTCACCTTGAGTAAGATTTCAATTGAATCAAATCTTTGGTTTTCGCAGAATAAAATGGAGTCATACACTTAAAAACGATTGAAATCAAACGATAGAAAAAGTTGGTGAAATCGTTTGTTTACTCGGGTAAGTTTTATGTACTCCTCTGCCTGTGCAAACTTGGTCCGCAGTGACTGAGAAAACTGCCCGCAGACGCAGGAAACTTGGAAAAGCATGATACAAACTAAGAAGATTGTGCACTAAAGAATGGACTTCGGACTTTTCTGACGTGCCCAACGTGATTTTAGTGCAATGGAGATGTTGCATGTGTGAGGAATTTGCGATTTGACTGTTGATTCATATGTAAAAGTTGGCGAGAAATACGATGGTGCCACTGGTTTTCTCTGAAACCAACTCCCAAGCTTAAAAAAAGCTCTCAAGTTGAGGCCAAAATGGAGGAGATATCCCCTGCTATCCTGAGAGTCCACCTCTACATCAAAGCGAACTCTCCATGCAAAGATAGGGAGCAAGTACATTAGCAGGGTTACCGTGTTATCAATTTTAGAGTCCCCAAATAAAGTGGCAGCCCTGTCAATGTATTTGCTCCCTATCATTGCATGGAGAGTTTGTCTTGATGTAGACGTGGACTCTCAGAATAGCAAGGGATATCCCCTCCATTTTGGCCTCAACTTGAGAGCTTTTTTCGAGCTTGGCAGTTGATTTCAGAGAGAACCAGTGGCACCATCGAGTTTCTTGCGGACTTTTACGTAAGAATCAACAGTTAAATCGCAAATTCCTCACACATGCAACATCTCTATTGAAACTGTAAAGGGTATATTTATTTGGCTATACCTCTTGCAAGCGACAGGCCAATGACAGTGCAATTTCACACCCTTCATTAGCACAAAAAGGTGCTAAGCTGCTCGCAAGTTATTGTTCAGGACACCTGAAAGTTTTCCATTGAAACCTCAATACTGCCGCGCTAAGTAAAAACGCCATGTGGGCATTCAAATGTTGCAAAATTTCCTCTCGAAAAGTATTTATTTTTGAAGAAAGTTAGGAATATTTTTTATTGATATTTTCAGACTTTTTAGATTCAATTACGGACAAAATCCACTGAAAAATTGTGAGAGTAATGTTCACAAATTTTCCTTGAAATTCGTGATTTGTCAAAGGAAATTTGGCGACGCTTGATGGGTCATACAGCGTGTTTCCTTAGCATGGGAGAGTACTGAATATTTTGTCTCTGTGGACTGTGGTCCTTTCTCCTAGGGACAGTCACATTTAAGTGCAGATACAGGGCAATCCAAAATTCCCATACAACCTAGAGGGTTCTTGCCATTTTCTCAAGGTGGTCCCTTTAGAGTTTTAGGAGTTCCCAAAAGTCGTTTCTTGTGACCTAGGAGAGCTCAAAAAATTGCAAATCCCTGTCTCAATTTGTTTTAGAGTTCTTGGGGTGATGCCTGGTACTAGTGGTGTGGAATTTTGGGATCACCCAGTGTATTGATGAAAATAGGGGAAAAAATGAATTATAAGGAATTGAAAAATTGTAACAAAACTGACCCTTCTCCTGCGTCGTGAGTGCCTTGGGCTTCTTGAATGTGACCTGGAGTCTCGTCCATAGGAACGTGACCGAGAGCGAGAGATGGAGCGTGAACGAGAGCGAGACATGCTACGCCCGTAAGATCTTCTGGAACTATTGATATGAGGAGACGGGGATCTGAAAAAACATGGGTTGAAGTGTGTTATTAGAGCTAAGAAAAGAAAGATGGCTTACATGTGATCGTTCCAAAAATGGACATCATTTTGCAATTGGGGACTACACTTTCTGGCTCGATTTGTCAACGATGTATGTTTACTTATTTATTTTATTATTATTACAAAACAAAATTACAATATGTACCACTCGTTTTCCTACATACATGTGTTTCCACGGATAGGCCAGCAATTGAAGTTCCTACTTGCAAAATGGAGACCAAATAACGGTGAACAGGCACAGATGGGAAGTCTAAAATCCATCTTTAATCTCAAGACTTCTGAGGAAATATTGCCCATTTTAGAGCTTTGAAGAACTGACGCTTGGGGTGACACTCATCATAGAGTTTATTTGTCAAGAATGTATCTTATTGTACTGTGTAGAGTGTGGAAGTAAAATAAAAAAGTTTAGGATCAGGGTGTCTGCCAGTTATACAAAACCAAAATTGGGGACTTTATCCCTGAAATATTAAGAGAGAGGGAGCTAGTTAGAGCGTTGAAATGTGTATTTTGTACGGCTAATTTGACAAGTCATGTTGAACCAATGAAAACAGACGAAAAACCACAACACTACAGTTATTTTATTCCTGGTTACACTGCACCGCCACGACTGGCGGGAAAATTTAAAAATGCAGGTGTTTAGGACAATTTTTGTCATTTTTTGGGGACCTGAACGAGAAAATTGGGGACTTTGGGGGAAATCAGGGACACCATTCCAAAAACAGGGATAATCGAGGACATTGGGAACTTTTGGGGACCGGTAGACACCCTGATGATTGACTGCTGAACAGATTTAGAAATGGAGCATCATAAAACAAAATGTATTTTAATTAAATAATCGTTTAATGGACCACACGGACACTGGATTCAACACTGACTCTACCACAGGGGAGAAACAAGAAAACCTCAAAGATTGCGCTTCTACTTACTTTGACTTAGAGTAGGCAGAGCTAGGGGTGCGGCTTTTATCACGCGGAGGGGGCGAGTCTTCCCTTACTATTCTTTTCTCCTCTTCATCTTCACGTCCATAACTTCGGTTGCTCTACAACATATAAATAAACTTAGTTAGGATGACAAAAGAGACTGAAAACAACAATAATCTTCAGGCGATTAGAGCATTCACGTGATCCTTGTCCATTTCTGGCCGTGTAATATGTGTTTTTTTGTTTATTCCTTGGACATTCACTTTTAGGCAAATTCCTTCTTTGTCAAAGGAGACAACTGAGACACAAAAAAGTCTGGATGCAGTAAGTGATTATTGACTGAAATCCGGTCCTAAGAGTTTAGGGTGTATTTTTATTGCAACACCGCTGCTTCTTTGACAATATTCACTGGAAAAAGAAATGGTGTCCTAAACTGGGCCTTAGTACAAGCAAAATGAGAGATAGCCTTTATAATTGGTTTTAAATTAATGACTGTTTTCGAACCAAATGCATCTATGCCACTCAAAGGTGGGCAACTAAAAGAAAACTCTACCACTCTTACCTCTAAAGACTAAATTAATCTCTTCGAATATATTATATTCTACATAAATAGTAGGATTCCACTGAACCTACATGGTGAGCTGGTTTCCTAGGGAACGATAGTTATTATGATGCCATTAACTCTGAGATTATTAGAGGCACATAAGTTACCAACTTCAATTCTGCCTTGGTTACGATTAGAACAGGCACAAAATCAATTGAACATTGGACATGACTACGCATATTCAAGACAACTTGACCAACTGACGGACATCTCATGGATAGGTCCAGCTAGCACATACACAAACTTAAGGACTTGGAGGTCCCTCACACAGGAGATTAATACAGTAGATAATAATGCATGCATGAAACAGTTGTGATTTCGATATTAAATTCAGACATTCAAGAGTCTGAAAATGACATGAGATGAAAAGTATGGAGGGAAATTGCTGCGACGTTCTATGATTCCCTGAGCCAGACATAGGAGAGGCCTTGAGTAAGATTAACAATCTTCAGTTGAGTCATAACTCATCGGTATTGAAGTTTCACCTCCGCTTTTCTCTCAAATTGGGATAAGGAAAAAACATATACTGGAAAGGCTAAGGATTAAAATGAGACTCATTGTAGTTGATGTTCCGCCGTTAACGGCAGACGGCAGATGCCGGCGTCACGTTGAACGGGGACCAAACAAAGAAATTTGGAGAGTAAATGGCGCAATTACCTCGTTATCACTCATTATTTCAAATCAGCATTAAAACACCACAAAATATTAAGCGTATGAATAAGGATGAATGCAAATCACGCTTCCCGTAGGCGAAACTATTCACGGCACGCTGAAAAGTTCCCAAAATTTCAACTTCCGAAAATTTTAGGTTAACGAAATGAGGCATGGAGCGGAATAAATAAACACTGCTTGAGTCCAAAGCTGTTCTGTCACGCTTTATTTTCAATAATACGTACAATCAATTATAAGAGCGACCAAATAAATTGTAATTTAATTTCATGGAATACACTAATGTATTTTAAGTCTTTTAAAAGAAGATTCAGATTTCTTTAAAGGCTTTTTACGAATATTTCTGCTTGGAATTAAGCTTGACCTTGAATATTTTTACCGCGGTACTTTGGCATGAAATCGACGTTGCCACATATGTTACCGATCAAAGTAAAAGTCTGGTAAAGTCACGCTTATTTTAATTGAGCTTTTTTCAATTTCTTCAGTCTACGACAACCTTGCAAAAAAGCTCATAAAGTTGACGATAGTATCGATCTTGGCGACCTATCGCTTTGTGAACTTTTTTGTGTTTACGTTTCGTTCTGACGTTATCACGTCCATTCACCCACCTTTTTATGAAACTTCATTATAATGGCAGTGTTTAGTAATAATTCATCTCTTCAATACATCATCATTTGTTCAATTTCAACCTTGTATGCCAGATGACACCTCACTCACAGGTCTAGCTCTCCCGTTTGTACGCTTAAGCTTTTCAACTGATTCTTTAGTTTTCATGGCATACCTACATCGACAGTAACCTCCTTCAATTTTTGGAGGCTGGTCACTTAATCCAGGCATGGAATCATTTGGTCCCAGGGGAAGTAAAAAATTCCCCACAGAATTTGCTAATTGTTTTGATGAGCAAAATGAACCGATGTCCATGAAGTCCGAGTCGAAGATCCAGCCGGACAAAATCCATCAAGACTCTATCATATCAATTGATAACGATGATGAAACTCTGGTTTTCAAACAATACGACCTATTTATTCATGGGTTTTCACAGATGGAAGAAATTCGCAGGCAAGGGAAGCTCTGTGATGTCACATTGCAGGTAATCATTGTTGATCTTTGTACTTTTTTACCATAGGACACGGAACTTTTCAGCTTGAGCTTAAGTTAGATGAGTTAGCAGTTGTTTACGTTGACTGTCCCATCATTAGACGAATTTAGCATCATCTCCTCAGGAGCAGGTATTGGTTTTTAGTATCTGTGCACAACGACCGGACAGTGTCATCAATTGCTCTCGGTCAATCCTTGAACCTATTGAACAGTGGCAGAGCAGTTGCACGGAAATGGGAAGTAAACAATTGCCAATTTACGTGTTGAAAGGTTTAGAACAGAGTTGGGTGAAAAATTGACGTTTATATGTATCGACCAACATTTCAATTGACTGAATAATTCGGGTATTAAAGTTGGCAACTGATCGGGAGACAAATAATTTGATCAATCGTCCCGCGGCAATTGGCGAATAAATCAAGTATGGACATTGGCAACTAACTTGATAATAGTAAATCATCAATTTTTCATTTTTAAAATTAGCAACTAATATGGCAGCAAATTAATCGGTTAATTGTCCCAGGACAAAAATTTTTTGAAAAAAAAAAGTTAAGTACTCCTTTTATATCTATTAAAAAGTCATTGAGCAAAATGCAACCATATAAATTAGGCGTTTCGAAAGCTTTATTCCCTTGTTTTTACTTACTTTGTTCCTTTAATTTCAGGTAGAAGATCAGTTGTTCACTGCGCATCGAATAGTTTTGGCCGCTACAATACCTTATTTTCAAGGCATGTTTATGCATGATATGCTAGAGAGCAAACAGAAAATCATCACCATCAGGGAAATAGACGCTGTGTAAGTTTTCTATTTTCTTCCCATTTTGTGGCCATTATTCTAACCATAGCATTGAGCAGGGTGGTGTTTTGATACTTATACTGTCCAGGATTTAAAATTAAACATCCTACTAAGAATGAAGCACACATCCCAAAAAATATAGCCTGAAAATACAAACACCACAGAATGAAAAAGTAAAAATCTGGTACTTAAAGCAAGGCTTAAATATCAAAACTCTAAAAAAGCAGGACGTTTTGAGCTATCTCAAGCTCGCATTTTGCTGCAAGAAACAATGAAAGAACATAAGAAAATTAAGTTTGAGGCCTGATCTCATTTAGGTATTATCCAACCACTGCAACTGAGATCAAATTGCCTTTCAATTTTTTACCGTTAATTTTCATTGTTTCTGGGGGCTGAAAATGAGCCTGTGACAGCCCAAAATGTCCTTTTTAATGTTTTAATATTTATATTTTGTCCTATTCCAGGCATTAACCCTCCATGGCATGAATTAATTCTAGATCTATTTTTCTGAGGGACAATTATCTTTTTTTTAGCTTGCATAAATAACATTCAGTACCAAATTTGTTTTCAAAATTTTAAACTTTAGGGAATCGGTTATCCGACAAAGAAAAACTTTTGAAGATTTACAAAATCCTGGCAGAGAGGAAAGATTCAATTTTTAAAAACCCCCAAAAAAACGTTGTTAAAAATTCTTAATGCTATGCCATGGAGGGTTAACTTTCATGAACTTCCTAATCTTCTTAATTCAAATCTAGTGAAAGCTTAAGACTTGAAAACTGTTATTATCATTTGTGTTTTCAGAGCCGTGGAAGCGTTAGTCAATTTTGCCTACACTGGACGAGTCACTATAGCTACTCACAATGTACAGTCTCTTATGGTTGGAGCTTCATTTTTTCAACTCTCTCATGTGAGGAAAGCCTGTGCTGATTTCCTAGAAAAAAGGTAATCTGTATTTTACAAATGTCCTTTGACATGATTAAGATAACTATTTGGGTCTGTTCATTTTGTTTTGCAGCTGACCACTTCTTCTTTAACCATGTCCATGCTAATTAATCATGACTTTTGTCATTTGCAAGTCATAAATCAATCAATGACTCCATAAACACTATCAATTTTGATTTGGACACATTTCATCATCATGACGCAATTATGACAAGATTGTCCATCTACATTTTGTTGCCGAATTTAGCTGGCTAAGCTGTATAAAACGTAGTAATCTACTAAAAAAACGAGCTACAAGTCAAAATAAACAAGTAATATTTCAAACTACAGCCTTGGGTATACAGGTCTTCTAGCCGCCATGACCAGGGACCGGTAACATTCTTTTTAGCTTTTGTTTTTTTAGATTTTTTAATTTTTATTGTGACGGTTGATAATGACCGGGAGACCGGTCAAAACGTCCCATGATTTGTAATAATTATTGTGTGTTTTTTCAGCCTCGGCCCCGGCTTTTCCTGTTTATTTTTATTCTATGTTCTCGGGCTGCCATAGTGTACTTTTTTTCTATTTCAAACTACATGCAGATGAGAAAAAAAATGAGACTTACAAAAAGCAAAGCATACAAAGCTTTTTTGTATGTTTTATATTTTTTCTCATCTACATGTTGTTTGAAATATTTCTCGTTCATTTTGGCTTGTAGCTTTTAAATCAATTTCTATGTTATCTATCTACTTACATTAGAACCACCAAAATTGCAATATAAAACCATGATGTAGCTGATAAATGAGCCCATAGTGAGTTGAACTCCCAATTTATTTTTCAAACCTTGATACCTTTCTTGAAAATGAAATGCGTTTTTTTTTTTATCTTACAAAAAACTATCAATGAACAAACAGTAATGATGGAGTTTGCTTTCAGGTTTAACCCTCACAATGTCTTAGGCATCCGCTCGTTTGCTGACACCTTAGACTGCGGCTCTCTGAAAGATGCAGCTGAAAAATATATCCAACAGTATTTCCATGAGGTGTCATTGTCAGAAGAATTTCTTGCACTCGGTCTTCCTGAAATAATTGATCTAGTGAAAAGAGATGAGCTTTATGTATCATCTGAGGAGCAGGTATCTATTCTTTTCTGTTTTGAAAAATTATGTTAATCGCCCGGAGAAGATTTACTGTAAACTGATCCCTCTAATCATCCCTTTTTCAAAGAAACATTTTTAAAATCTCACAAAAAGAGAAACCATCCTGTTTCCTAGCAAATTTTTGAGAGAGGAATTCTTGTCATGGGGAGGAACATCTGCTAGTATCCCAAAAAAAAAAAAAAAATTGACAAGCACTCTGGCTCATTTTGTGCCAACAGAGATCGTAATGCTGATTTTTAATCTGACGATTCTGAGACCAGAAAGTGATAGTTCCAAACTTTGAAAGTGAAGCATCCAACATTCATAGGTGTAAAACTTTCTGTAAAACAACATTTTTTAACTCCAAAATTTCAGATTATCTTTTAACTCTAGTTTTATTCGGCCTTAAATATCTTATTTTCAGTTTTTTTGGCACCAAGATTCCTTCACCCAAGTGTGGTCACAATGGACATAGACAGGATAAGAATAAATACCCGAAATGATGTGTTTTCTCTATGCATGATGTGTCTTTTCCTGTATTCTAAAGTAAGAACGAACTCTTATTTTATTTTATTTTTCATTTTGCAGGTCTTTGAGGCTGTCATGAAATGGGTGAACAGAGATAGTTTAACTCGCAGCGAGCATTTAGCCAAATTATTGACTCTAGTTCGTTTACCATTGCTCACTCCTCAGTATCTCTCCGATCGTGTGTCAAAAGAAGAGCTAATACGATTTTCACACGAGTGCCGGTAAAAGTTTGTCTTGTTAGATTATTCTCATCCATTCTAGGCGCACAGTCAGTTTTTAATCGAATTAGCTGGTACAAGCAAGTTCAGTGTCTGATGTATTTTGTCCAAATAAAACTGAAAAACAATCTTCAGAAACAATTTGATGTGATCGGTTGAGGTAGTACATTTGATGCAATGGTGCAGAAACTTCTTGACCGGCAGGCAATTGGCTGCATTTAAGAATAGAAGATCCCAGAAGTGTGTTGTCAGAAGTGGGTAAGCTGCAAAAAGAACTCCTTGAAAAGAGAAAGAAAGCATGGAAATTGCAGCTATTTGTAAATGAAGAGAGAGAAAAAAGAGAACATTAAAATACCATCACTTTGAAAAAGAGGAAAAGGGATTTTGAAAAGAGGAACTTTTTGCTTCCTTGTTAAGATAGATAAGTAATGCTGTCAGTGATTGTAATCATTAAAATTTTTACCCAATGAAAATCTGTATGCAAACCCTTTTCTGTATCAGTAGGAATTTTTCTCCAAATGGGGTCTAAATCATTTTAATTATTTGGGTGTTGACAATAGGAAATCTTTCATCAAACTTCATGCACCATAACTACGCACATTACAGGGCTGCAGAATGTTTTAAGCCTTCCCCCCCAATTTAATTGAAGCATGCGTCCCCCCAATTTTGATCAGTTCTCTCTTGAGACACAAATAGGAAGAAAACCTTTGCCTGGAAAGGGACATTATCTGTGCATTTTTTCATTTCAGAGATTTATTAGACGAAGCTAGAGATTATCATTTAATGCCTGAGAGACGGCCCATGCTGCAGAGATTCCGTACTGCTGCCAGATGCTGCAACTATATAATTGGACAGATCTTCGCTGTTGGTGGACTTGGCAAAACAGGTTCGCATCTTTTAGTATCTTAAAGTCTGCCTTCCCAAGCAGAATTTTAACAGTATCAACAGATAAAGATCAGCTTACCTTTCCTTAGACTTTCTCTTTTATCATGTCGCTTTTGATGTACAAATGCAGTTGAGTCGGAGGTTGAAAAGAATTAAAAAACTTTCATTTTCATATATCTTATTTTTAGTGCTAGCAACAACAAGATACGTTTACCTTTGTTTTCTACTATGGTTATTCTATACACAAAGCGTAATTTAAAGAAACATGAATTTCGGCTCCAGACATTTCAGATTTTTTATCAAATCTTACTAATTTAAAGCATGACCTTTCTATATTATTGCACCAAGTAAACCCAAAATAAAACCACCAACGAATAAAATAAATACCAGTAGTAAAATTGTTGTTAGCTGGAATTTGAGGAAACTCAAATAAACATTTGTTACTCCTCTCTTAATGCTGAAGTACTGCAGCGTTCATGAAGATTTCAAGTGTTGATTTTCAATTATTCACCTCTAAATATCAGCAAAATCAGGTTTTTCACTGCCCAAGTGCAAGAGATGCTAGAGTAGGTGCAAAGAGAAACCTAATTGATTGTTCTGAGTGATTCCCACATCAGAGGGTCATTATAGGTGAGTAGTAGACTACTCTAAGGGGAGAAAAATTCATGACAATCAGGTCAGAATTATTCCTCCAAAGAAGTTTTTGTGGCAGAAAACGATGAAGACACTCCGTATAGTGAAGAGAACCAACCTAGATTATTTTCCCTTGATTGAGCTCATGACACCAAACACAGGAAGTGCAAGATCTGATTTTCATAACTCCTCAAAATCGGCAAATAGAATATCCTAGTTCCCAAGAGAATTGTCTCAAAAAGATAAAGATAGTTTCAATGTGCTTTTCAGTGGTCTTTTCTCCCTTTCAACAGGAGTGCCACAGTCAGGGAATGCCGGAAAAACCGTGAATGTCACGGGAAACCTGAAACTGTCAGGGAAACTAACGAAAGTGTCAGGGAAAGATTGTTAAATCACTTTATTTGCTTTCCGGAATGGGCCGGACGATTTCGTGAGAACGATTTTTAAGTGCACAGAATATCCTCAATGGTCAGGGAACTTTACCCTCATACAAACACAATACAAAAACAAAACCCTCTCTACACCTTGCAAGAGTTTTTAAATTTGTAAGATTACTCTTTTTTGTAACTTTTTCTAATGAGACTTGTATTGAGCCTTTATGTTCAGGCTAATGTACTAATCTTTACAAATAGATAAATAAATTTACCAAAATATGGCAGAGAAATCCGGGAATTGTGAGGGGATTTCAATATTCTAAATCTTGAGGCAAAGCTGTTTCAAAAATATTTCCTGATGCTTAAATGAAAAAATATCACATTATACTCTCTCCAAAAAATGAAATGAAAGTGAAACTTTTATAACCCAGCTGTCAAGTCACACACTTCTCTGGTTTCACCATCGATATATTTTGATAATAAAGAAGTTACCTTCTAGATTTTCATCAAAAGTGATTTTCTCTCCTCTTATCCTCAATATTACGCCAAAATCACTTTCACAAAGTTGTCTTTTGTAATATGAATTATTTCGAACAGGTGACTCCTTAAGCACTGTCGAGGTGTTTGATCCAATCAGTGGTCGGTGGCACATGGCTCAAGCAATGAAAATGCTGCGAAGTCGAGTGGGCGTGGCTGTTCTCAAAAACAGACTGTACGCTTTCGGTGGTTACAATGGTGTTGAGCGGTTATCAACCGTAGAGGTGTTCGACCCTGTCCAACGAGCATGGAACAAAGTTGCATCAATGCATTGCAAAAGAAGGTAACGTCACCTCTCTCCTCTTAGCTAAGGAGCAATAAAATTATCACTATTAATGGACCATTAGATACAGAAAGAGACTTAATAATGTAGGACATATGCTCTCGCAGAATATGGTGGGCACATCAAATTGTCCAAAATTAAACTCACCGATGAAAAATTAGTGTTTCTTGTGCTTATTGACTCAAACTTTATGCTCACCAGAAAACCAAATTCTACATGAATCAACTCAGTCACTCAATTTGTGTCAAGAGGTAGAGGAATTTTCCCCCCTTAATTTTAAGAATATCATTTATTAAAAGATGTAAGAAAGTTCTACTCAGAATATGCAAAAAAAAGTTTCTAATTTAATTAATCGGGCACCCACAAAGTGTTAATCAAGTTGCAGTACTTAAGAGCGGTGCCTCCTAAAAAGTTTAATTGCAAATGAAACCACTCATTTTTACTATATCCTTTTTTTCTTCTTTCAATCGTACAGTGCGGTTGGCGCAGCGGCCTTAGCCGATCAGTTATATGTTTGTGGAGGTTATGATGGCCTTTCGTCTCTGAACACAGTAGAATGCTACACACCGGAGAAAAATTGCTGGACAGTTGTACAAAGCATGCAGAAACACCGTAGCGCAGGAGGTGTCCTCGCTTTTGATGGCTACATTTATGCATTAGGAGGTCACGATGGACTTCAAATTTTTGATTCAGTAAGTCCTATCAATTTGAGTAACGTTATGACAATGAATGATGTTCAAAGGAACTAAAGTTTTCCGTAACTTATTTACTAAAGACAGAAGTAAACCGCAGATCGCTGCTGCTTCAAAGCATCATAAATTACGTCATCTCAATAGGTCACTAAACCTTGTGTTTTTTATTTAATATTCTGAAAGTACCAGGTGAGGAGATTACATGGTGATTTGTTGCGCAGTTTGGGAGCCAAAATCCTGGACAAGCCCCCTTTTAAAAAGTCTCCTAACTCAAAGGAATTTCAAATGCACCCGAATGGCAGGAACATGATCCCAAGTAGCATTTTTCAACGGAAAAATCGCTATATATTGCGATTTTATCGGCGTTAAAATCGCCAGGATTATCAACATTTGAGCGATTATCCGCGATCTTATCGCGATAAAATCGCGCTTTTATCGTCAGACAATTTATCGCGATATTTTCGAAATAAAGATCGCAATAAATGGCGATTTAATCTTGATTTTATAAACAAAAATTGAACACGATTTTATCAAACCAAAAATTGCGATTTGTAGCGATTTAATCGCCATATATTGCGATTTTTAATGCAATAATATCTCGATATTGCCACCGATATATTCGCGATAACCAACCGATAAAATCGCTATTTATCGCAATCACTGCTACTTGGGATGGAAGTTATGTACAACATCAGTCAAATCACTATCTCCTCTTATTTTTCACTAATGTTTGTTAAAATAAAACGTATTTCAAGTCCACAGCAGACAACATGAATGAGATTAGATTCTTTGACTCTTAAGATGTAGTTTTGACTATGCTGTTGTTTTATACAAGGAGTTGAAAGACACTGGACAGAATTCGAAGAAACCTGTCCTTGCCTCTGATTGGTGCTAGGTGACATCATTTGGTTCGGCGGAAAACTGGGGCATTTTAAATTTGCAGAAAAGTTGCACTATTTGGACTGGACTTTTCTCCATTTCTAAGTCTTTTCTTTGCGTTTTTAATGTGTGAATCGTATTATTCGCGTCATTTCTTTCAAGAAAATGTATTCACAAGTCAAAATTCATTCTTGGTTTGGCGACCCATTTTCTAGCCTTTAACGAAATGATCCAAACCTATCATCATGGAACCAAGATATTAGGTATAAACTAATGACCCTTGGCCTCTAGCAGGTATTTAGTAAAACGTATTCATACTATCAATTTTCAATCCCAAGATGAGGATTTGTTACAGGCGAATAAGGCATTCTGTCAAACGTTTAGGCAAATAATCAAATTTTTCACGTAGATTAAAACTTCAATTTTTTTTCCTAATTTCACACGAAATAATTTATTGCCGAAAGAATTCTTTGTAAAAACGTGCATCTTGTAAAAGAATTTTGCACGATTTTTAGTTCCTAAACGAACATTTATCTCGAAATTTGCAGCATGTCATTGCACACTGAATTTTTTAAAATTTCAACTTTTAAATATATGAACAGTACTTAAAGAGGACAAGACAAGGAGAGACTGTGGATTTAATGAATATTTTTTTCCAAAGTATCTATAACTCATCAGCTCTTTGTCATAATTTCACAAAATTTCATAAGGTGTCAAAATTTGACTATCTGCCTAAAATTCCTGATTTGACCAATCGCGTGTGACATATAAGTGGATTAGTTTCGTCCTGAGCAATAGTGTATCACAAATTTGATTTGATTTTTTTCTTCAGGTAGAAAGGTACAGTCCGATTCTAGGAACTTGGTCGTCTGTCAAACCGATGCTTACGAAAAGGTGTCGCCTTGGAGCAACAGTTCTCAATGGCAAACTGTACGTTTGTGGTGGGTATGATGGTCAGACGTTCCTCCAATCAGCAGAGGTGTATGATCCAAAAACTGATGAGTAAGTACAACTAGACCACATTATTTTCCTTTTTCATCCACAAAAGCACCTACCTACACAAGGAAACTAATAGCACATTCGCTGTTTCTAAAATGAGCCAAAATTAGTAGTTTCTTAGTCGTCAAATTTGTAAAATGTAGTCTAACTCCACCATTGTGAGAAAAGAATTCTGCACATCCATTATGGAAAATTTGCCATAGCTGGCCACTCTTGCATGGAAATTTGCTTTATTAATAGTCGGATGTGTTTATGCTGTAAAGAACCATGTACAAATGAATTGAATCAAAAGGAAATATGCACATAGAATTTGTGTGCTTCTTAGTTCCTTTTGATTTTATTTATTTGTTCATAGCTCCTTTAACCATGAGTAGGTCTAGTTTTAATTAGTGTATTTGCTTAAATTTTATAATTGATCGGACGAAATTTGGTCATCTCAAGCAGTTGTAAAAAGTTGACAAAAACCCTCCAATAAAGCGGGAAGTTTAAATATTTAATGCTCATGACACCAGTGTAATGATTATCAAAAACTTGAGAGAGAAAATTTTCAAGAGAGGATCTTCAAAAATTGTCCTACTGTACATTGAGGTCCTTTTCCTCATTAACAGTTTAAACAAGGTGGAGAAATGGTGCTGGGTCCACACCATTTCGTGGGGAAAACAAAGCCAAGAAGTTCCAAAAAACTGTGCGTACAAATGAAGAAAAAAACTCTAAGAAGTGGCCCGAAACCTGTATGTAACAACCGGTGTTTTTTTCTTCATTAACAGTTAAATTTTTCTATTCTTCATTTAATAAAACATCATCGTTCCAGGTGGAAGTTCATTGCTCCGATGAATGTAATGAGGAGCAGAGTAGCGCTCGTCGCAAACATAGGCAAGCTGTGGGCAGTTGGCGGCTACGATGGTATTTACAATTTGCCAACGGTGGAAGTCTACGATCCAGCGACGGATTCTTGGTCGTTTGTGGCACCTATGTGTGCTCATGAAGGAGGCGTCGGGGTTGGTGTCCTTCCTCTCTATCCAAAATGTCTTGGGGCCGATTAACGACCGTCGCACTCTAAAATGATATCCAGAGTTGCCACCGAGACAGGGTGCTTGCTGAAAATCCCGTCTCTGATGATCGCTCAGCTCAGTGTGGTTCTACGGAGGCTGCAGAGGAAAGCTGTGCTCAGTTTGGATATGTTAGCTCTTGAGATTGGTTTGAGCAAGTAACAACCATGGAATGAAGTCTATTCCTGAGATCCCTCGGGACCAAGCTGTTCATGGACATCCACAAGTTCATGAATCCCTTCATTGAGTTAATTCGTCCCTAAGAATTTATCAACATATCTATAGCTGTATCGAGCTTCTCAACACAGACAACCATACCATACAAAGTGCAATTGATTACAATCCTTAAGCGCTATAACTTTGGTTCTCTCATCAATTTCTCAAGTAGAAAACGATTTGCACAGTGAAAATTACTGAAAGTAACTCTTAACAACCTCTGTTAGTTGGCCTCCTATGGTGTAGTGGTTGTAGCGCTAGTTCTATGATCGGGAGGTCCTGGGGTCGATTTTCGGCCAGGCGTCCCGAGTTTGATGGTCCAAACAATGGTTGCCTGGGACTGGTTGCCTGGGACGGAGAGGGGACGGGACTAAAGCGCAAGGATTAGCCCTTGTGGGCTATTTGAAGGAGTAAAAAAAAAAAAAAAGTTTTATGATGCATAGATTTAAACTCTCTCCTCACAAGAAACACCATAATCTCCTTAAGTATTAACTCGAAAATATTCAATTAATTCCTCTGGTCTCTCTACTTACTCTCTTTGCGATTTATGGAACACTAAATATTACCTTGACAGTCTTTGCAGTTTGAAAGTATTACAACCATAATACTGGCGCTTTGGCCCAGCTATCGCACGTTGCCTACACTTAGCAAAACACATGGTAGGGTAGAACCACTGCTCGTCTGAAAAACCTGCTTAAACCGTTGTAAAGCACGATTTGACTCAAGTAGACTTATGTTTTTCTTGTGAATGAGAAATTCAAATTATTTGTAACCAATGCTAGGTAAAAACGTTGTCATCTTTGCTAGGAGTTAGTATCAGTTATTTCCATTGTGCCCATTGCGTTCTGCGTGAAATTTGGAAGAGACAGCATTTATCAAAATGCTTGAATTTGTACCTTGTTGGTGGTCCATTGTGTTTCATTGGGAGTGGCTCTTCACCTCAATTTTCAAAATATGAAGTTAAAAAAACCATTCCAAAGAAACATGCATGCGTTACTACTACTCTATTTTCTAGTAACATTACTCTATATAAAGCTGCCGCACCGGCTCACTCTGCCCCCCCCCCTCCCCCCTAGAGAAAAATTGGCCGAAGCGATTTCCATTAAACTTGGTACTCGCACAGGTTCAATCCTGTCGCATGACGTCACAACATTATAGACGAAATTTCAGGTTTTAGGTGGTATTTTTCGAAGGATTTTCGTGAAAATTGGGATGGTGGGTACTTTTCTATGGGAAATTCTAATTTTTGGTCAGATTTTCAAAATTCCCAAAATCCAAGATTTCGGCCGTGGCCAAAAGGGCGAAGATGATATCTTCTCATTACTATTATTATTTTAAAAGTTAATAACTATGAGGGGCGACTCGCTCTGAGCGAGTCGCAAGTTCTTTGCGAAGCGAGGGCACTCCCCAGCTAGGCATGACAGCTTGCACAGCAAGCTGAACATGGCTAGTTAAATACATAAAGCCACTGCACTGAGATTTCATCAACTTTTTACAAAAAAACTGTCAGAGCGATTTCCTTCAAACTTGGCAAGAATGAAGCTAAAAAACCACCTTTACATGCCTGAAAAATTAAATTTAAAAAAAATTTATAATATAAAAATTTTAAAATCCAAAATGGCGGCCGTGTCCCAAAATGCTAAGTCAGCTCCTGTTCGATCGATTCTCATGAAACTCGGCATCTGGGGGTATTTTCGACGGGAAACTCGAATTTAAGGTAGGATTTTCAAAATTCCTAAATCCAAGATGGCGGCTGTGGCCAAAGTGGCGAAGATGTTATCTTCTCATTATTTTTATTATTTTAAAAGTTAATATCTAAGAGGGGTAGCTCGCAGAGCGAGTCGCAATTTCATCGCGAAGCGAGGAACCGGGGGTCTAGGGGCACTCCCCAGCTAGGTGTGATAGCTCGCACAGCGAGCTGAACATGGCTAGTACATACTATGCACTTACTACTAATCTCTTTTTTCTACTTACTAAGGTGTTTAAATGCATGCATTGCACTCTGGACAGTGCATTGGGCCCACTATCATATCAGTGCGTATTTATTTGAAATCAATTTTTATACTTTTAGGTTTGCGAGTGTTATAATGGGATGGATTCAAATGGAATCTTTTGCTTTTCTCGGTATCTAATTTTCTCTCATGTTTCATTTTATAAGAAAGGTTGAAAGGTCTGTTAACTTTTCAAGACTTTGTCTCTGATTACGAAGAATGTTTTCACCAAATTTCAAGTTTCCATGTCGCTTGTCTTTTCTGTTTAAAAAGAAAAACATCAGAGAAAATTAGGCGATGTTTGATAAAGTCAGGCTGACTACGGTTATATGGGCTCAATCATGGAATTTGTTTTCCTAATTTTTTTGGCCCATTTTTTGGTGATTAATGAATGATAGGAGAGGGGCTTGTTGTAAGGGAAATTTGGACTGCATTTTGCAATTTGGACCTATAAATTCTGGCTCATCTGAATAAACACTTATGTGCCTAGGGAAACTAATGGCACGTACGTTGTTTTTAAACCGGCCCGGCATTTATAGTTCCTAATTGCAAAATATAGTCCATTTAATGAATAAGGGACCAATATTGAGTTGCGTAAGATTACCCCCATGATTGTGATTTTCCTCCGAATCTGTATCCTGCAATTTACCTTGTTAACCAGTTGTAATAATTTTTTTATGGCTTGATTCATTTTTATTCCTATCTACCTCTCCTCTAAATATTGTTGTTACTGAACGAGGATAGCCTGTGTATACTTTCCTCTATGCTTTTTTTTCATGAAGTAGCCAAAATCATTTCACTTTGAATTTTAATGAGAAATTCTGAGGCAAAAATGTTGGTTTTATTTTAAATTTTGTTTCATCGTGATTGCTATTTAAAATGGCTCGTTGCAACAGAGTGTATGTCCATTGTCTGCCTCAAAGTTGCCGGCAATAGTTTATTCTGTTGTTTTACTGGGATGCAAATTTGTCCGAAAATCTATATGATTTTTACGAATTGCTAAAAAATCTCCCCACCGTTTTTAGACTGATTTATTTTTGGCGATAGAGTAGTGAATGTAACATTCGACGTACTTCAAGCTAAAGAATTGACTTGCACCACTCAGCAAGAAATTTATTAATTCTTAATGCCCTAAGAAAAGCCTTTCTTTTGTAGATCATGAACAACTTATTTTAAGCATCTCTTGCAAACTACTTAAGAATGGGTCACATTCTTTAATGTTCGGGAATGTAATGTTTATTGATTTCTGTATACTAGTCAGTTTAATTAAAAGAAGAGTTTTAACTTGTTATGAGTATTTTTCTTAGTTCTTTCTTTTTTGTCGCATGTAAATGATCCCACCTCTCATCTATTTTTATCAAAATCTTAATATATTGGTCTTCAGAAGATCATTTCAGTATTCAGTTTCAAAACTATAAGCTCTTAAACCTTCCAAGTGTGGTTCGAAAAATAGTGGTAAAAAAATGTGATTTGTTTCTCAAAAGGAGTTTGATGGCTAAATGCAAAACCACTTATCTCCATTGTTGCGTTTCAAAATCTCTGCTCCTCTTCCATTTTTTCGAACTAGCTAACACTTTAGCTTTTTCGGAATAAGCTAACTTCATAGCTTGAAATTTAGAAAAATACTCTGCTAATAGAGAAGAGAAATCAGTGAAGTTTTCAAGAAGTTAAGTTGACCAGTTTTCCAAAGAGAAATGGAAGTATGAAAGGAAGTCTGCGTTGTCGCAAGCAGAAATGTGTGGTTTTGCACTTGGGCCATCAAGTCATGTCAGAGAAAATCTTATCCGTCCCACCAGTGAATTTTTACCGAAAATCATATTTTGATAAAGAGCTCATTAAAAACTGTAAAATTCGGCAATGACTGCTCTAATTTAATGGCCAAAAGCTCAGATTTGTTGATCTGTTCTTGTTAACCTTGAAAATGACGGAAGTCGCATTCTTAAAAAAAGATCAGCATGAGATTTTAGGGTCTGTCGCCAGTAAAATTAAGCCAGAGGATGTTTGAAATACAAGCATTAGTGAAATTGAAAAGAAGGAAATCCAATGGACCACTAGACAAGGTACGAATTTCAGCATTCTGATACATGTCTCTTTACCAAAATTTTACGTAAAACACGATGCGCATAACGAAAATTACCGACATCAACTCCTTCCGAAGATATTTAATGATTCTTGGTGCGTGAATTGAAACCACCCGCTCATGAAAACTCAATGCTCTACGTGATTCACATCGCGCGCTAAACGTTATCATGAACGTCTCCGCGATGAAAAATCTGGCAACTTCTATCTTGACACTTTGGCTCAGCCATAGCAAATTACTAATAATTTGAAAAACACATGGTGGGAAATGAGCATTGCTCGACTGAGAAGCTTGCTGAAATCGTTGTAGTGCGCGATTTGACTCACGTAGAGCTTTGAGTTTCTTGTGAGCGGGCAGTTCAAATTCTTCGTAACCAATTTGAAATAAAAATGTCAATATCTCCGATAGGAGTTGGTTTCAGTTATTTTCGTTGCGCGAATCGTGTTCTACGTGAAATTCTGGTTAAGGAGCATGTATCAGAATGCTTAAATTCGCACCTTGTCTAGTGGTCCATTAAGACTAAAATCAAAGGCTGGAAAGTCGGTCAGAAAAATTTTCCCAATTTGCAACTCCCGTCATTTCCAAGTAAATGAATTGAGAATAACATATCTGTTCTATATGACAGTTCATTTATATGGTCACTGCCATATTTCGCATTTTCTGACTGAATTACCTTGTTTCACTAGCTGTTATGAAGGGGGAAGAAATTCTTATACGCTGCCTATTAGAGTCCAAGCCAAATAAGTTTACACACTTCTAGACTGCGACAAAAGATCTGCGACCTTGTCTCTTGCATTTACTTTACATGTATAAAAGACATCAGACAATCCTCTGTCGCAGCCTAGAAATGCGTAAACTTATTTGGTTTGGACTCTCATTGAATCTAACAAAACTTCCAATATACTATTGAAAAATAATCTTTTGAGAAGTAATTCAGTCCTGTGAATTATCAGGCTCAGTCATAAGATAATATAATTTAAAATCGGATGTACACATTTATGCTGGAAGAAGCTACATGAAAGTGAATTAAATCAAAAAGAACTGTGTGCATAGGGCTACATAGTTCCTTGTGACTTTATTCATTTGTACATAGTTTCTTTTGGCATAAAGTAGTCCAATGTGTCACCTTCCAGCTAAAGTAACATAAGCTTAGATGCTATCTCGCCAGACACTTCAATACTTTTTTAATTTTTTCTTGAAAACTTTGACGTATACTATCATCGAAATTTCAGAAATTAATAGCAATCAAAAAATAAATTTTAGGTAAAATTTTCATGCGATTCTGTTCGCCGGTTTTTCCATAAAATATTGGACAAGTTTCAGACGTCTGACAACATAATGCCTAAGCACCAATGGCGCTTGTTTCATGTTTGATGGAAGGTGGCTGATTGAGGAACAAACCAGGGCCAAAGCACTCCTAACTTTTTTCAAAATAGTAATTGAAATACTAGAATTTTCATTTTTTACATCCGTCGGGACCACAGCATTTTAAAAACAAAAGCACTGAATCCGGATAAAAAATTCTCACCTAACACCTTTGCAACCTCGAAGACAATATTTTCCTACTATAAATGACCATAGAGTATAAAACTGGTCACTAGAAGCACCAGATGATGTCAACAAGGTACAGTCAACTCATAATAATTCGAAATTCAAGGAACCGGAGAAAATTTTACTGGCGAGAATTTCGAATAAGTCAGGTTTTTTATTTAGAGGTTCTCGAATTAGGAGGAGTGCGACTGAGCTGCAAAAATTTAAGCTAAAGAGATTGTAAATCATTTGAAATGAACTTATACTAAAAAATTTAGTTTCCTTATTTACGTAATACAGTGAATGAAAAGAGCTGGACGTTGTGCTTTTGTTACTCCAGGAAATTACACAGTTTTCGGCCGGCAGAGAGCCATGTCGGCATGTTTTTAATGTTGACCTTCTAGAATTTTTAAATTGAGGAAAGTCGATCCAGTCTTAAAAGTTTAAATTACAAAGGTAATATCTGCGCCGAAAAATCCGAATTATCAAGGGGGCAGGGAATAAATGGATTTTTTTTCGAATTATCGAGACTTTCTTAAGGGACCGGCACTAATGAGAGTTGACTGAAATGCATAATAAAAAAGAAGAGACAATCTTTGGTAGCATGGTAAAGGTTTAATCAAAAATTACAAAAATATTTTGAGAATAATTTCGAAGTCCAGTCATAGATATTTCAGTTCACTTGAAGGTTAAATTACTACGTTACATTAATAAAAAATTGGTAAAAAAGAGGTGATGCGCGAAATGATTAATGCGTCCACTAATAAGACTGATTACATAGGTATAACATCGTGGATCTACTTTCTGAAAGTCATTAGGGTGTGAGTCCGCGTGCTGACTAAGATGCTTATTTCTAGTGTTTACAAGGTCAGAATTCAAGTATGACTGCACATATCGTTGCTCCTCTGACGTAAGGGCGTATCTTGATTTCCTCGAGAGCCCTATCCTCCATATAACTCTATGTTTCCCAGGGCTCATCAATACTGCTGTGCTAAGGAAAAACACCATATCAACAATCGGATGTTGCTAAATCTCCCCCGGATAAAATATTTACTTTGGGAAAAGTTGGGAATATTCTACATCAAAATTTTCAGATAATGTATGTTAAATTGCAAATGAAATTCTTGGGAAAATCAGAAGCAAATTATTCACAAGCATCCCTGAAACTTTGTATTGTATTAAAAGACATTTAGCAGCGTTTAAAGGCTCACATGATGTTCTTCTTTAGCAACGTAGCATATTTTTTTCATGAATATGTCATGCAGAACACATTGGACACATTGGAAATTTTCGACTTGTAGGAGAAATAACAACGTATCGTATCAGTGTAGATTCAAGTTCACCAAAAAAAACGGAAATCTAGCTGATAAAGTAGGGACACTCGACCAATTTCTGCATATGCAACGCTATAACTTTTTTTTTAGTGTACTCAATTTTGCTCAAAATGTATAACAGCATCAGAAAGAGTGGGAACATTTTTGTGAAGTTCAACTTTCATTATTCATCGACACTAAATTTGTTTATAATACCGAATTTGATCTGATTTTTTTCCGTTTTGGTAGTGAAAAGTTTGGATGGAAATACACATAACGGAATTAGAGTTCATTGGAGAAGAAGGAGTCTGCTCGTATTTAAGCTACCGCACTTTCGGAAATAGCGACTAAGTGCCTGCAAAAATCTTACCGGCATAACTCAAAGATTCAGCTGGAACCAGTTTTTGCATTCTTTTTGCAAAATGTAAATCATCAATAACAAAGTTAAAAAGAAATCACATGATCTGCCGATGAGTTCTCACTGACACTTACAAGCCTTTTCCCAAAACATAGTGGCTTCAAAGCCAAGACAAGACATTCTTCGACAGCAAACGAGCTGGTTATGAAGTCTGGCTTTTGATTGTCAAAAAGTTGATCACTTCTCAGCCAAACAGGAACTATTGAAGTCGAGTGACTATTAAACAAAGGAATGAGACATTTTTACGATGCCAAAGCATCGCGCATCTTACTTAAATGCTAGTGACCCTCAGAATGTTTTTGGTTAACTCTACACCTGAATTAAAAATAGATTAAAAATAGATAATTTTTGAGCAATTACACAAATGCCATTTCTTCTTAGGCTCATTCATTTTTACCCGAACATACTTTCCATGCATGATTTTTACTCTGACTTAGAACCCAAATCTGTTTACGCATAATCTTTGGAGGAAATACTTTCGAAGTCTATAATATGCTCTCCTCTTTGATATTTTGTCTACTTCTTTTGAGACAACTGAGTGATGAACTGAATCAAAGTTCTCGTTGGTCTTCCTGACATCCCTTTCTCAAGGTAAGGGCTGTCATCGAGTGGACCCATGACGCCAGCCATATCCATATGAACCCAGTCTCCGTCTGGTTTGAACTCCTGAAAACAATTCATTCAAATTAGATCTACTGATCAGTTAATTAACATTGATTTTATCAGACAATTAATCACCGAAAAAAGTCTCTAAAGGATGGTAATCTCTATACACAAAAACAAACAGCAGCCTGATTGTTGAAATTTTGTGTTTGTCGGTTGGACAAAGGTTAAAAGGCGGAGCGTGATTGGTCCGCTATGTCTTATCACTGCTTTATTGCGCCTTTGTCAGGTGGAATGGACGACAAACTGTCAAAAACTTAAGAGGTACCTTTAGCTTGTTGTGAGCTCCACCC